GTCCTACCACCAGTAAACTTGCTGCGGGTGTCGTTTGTAGCGACTAAGAAATTCATCGGAGATCAGGCAACAGCCTTCCCTGACTATTCTAGTACAGTATCTTGATATCTATATATTAATATTTGAAGCAAAAATTTTGTAGGTATCCCTTTTTACGTAAATTGCGCGGACAGAGGAGTATGAAATTTTCCACACTTATAGAGAATATAGAGAAGAAGTGCACAATGTTAATATTTTTTTTAAATAATGTATAAAAGATACATTAAATCAATAAAGAAAACATTACACACACTACATACCATGTATTTGACGCACACACGCATGCATGCTATTTATTGTCAAACTTTTGTTCTTGAAGTTTGTGTCAAATTGAGAATAGATTAAATATTGTTTGTCTTTATTAATATTTTTTTATAATGTAGCCTTGACGAAATTTGTGATTATTGAAGTATAAAATACAATTATAATAGTGTACAAACTTACAATTCCAATTAATTATAGTCGAATTTCGACTACTGCGGGACCTCTAGTCTTTATAATGTCTTGATCTAGTATATCACTAGTTATCTCGATCGCCATCCGAGATTTACTAGTATGATAAGCCCGCGCGGGTAGGTACCACCATCCTACAAATTTCTACAACGTAGCAGCCATACGTTTAGTTTGAAGGCTTCGTACAATAGAATTAAAAGTTCGACCTAATATCTTGAGGTGGGCGGTGGAATCCACGTTGTGTTCACTAATCATCATCATCATTCTCCTACCCTTCTCCCAGTCACCTGGGGTCGGCGCAACATGTTATCTCCTTCCATACTCCTCTATCATATACCATTTCTTCGCTCACTCCCCACTTACACATATCGTCTTTCACGTAATTCATCCATTTCTTCTTAGGTTTACCTCTTCCTCTATAGCCTTCTACATTTATAATGAACAATCTCTTGCCAACATTGTGTTCACTAATCTAAACATCAAATAACCGTGCGCGAGGAAGATGGATTTTCGTCTTGATTTTGAGATCTTTATGGATGGTACACGGTTGCGTTATGCTGTCCATGTTGTTTTTTTTTATTTCTACCTATGCTGATAGCCTTGAGAGGCTGTTTCAGCTTCGCCTTAACGTTTAGGTGAGCTCACAGGGCTCAAACCGAAGTGTTCTTAACACTGGCCCTAGCAAGAGCAGTGCTTCGCAGAATCTACCACTGGATCGGAAACGCGACCTACTGAAAAGATCCGGCGAGAAACTCAGTGGGCTGTGTCTAGCGGTTAATTCGCTCGTCGAGCCCTTCGTCGCAAGGGACGGGTTCGACGAGGACGGTGACCGATGCTTGTGGTACCTAAAAGCACCGTTAACGGATCAGGAGGATCCGTAATGACGTGTTTTGGGCGTCCATGTTGTACGAAGCATTCTCAGCAGGCGCCATGTTTCAAATGCGTCATTGTCATCCGGCCTGCCCTCGGTAGAGTCCACATTTGAGAATCGCACAGAAATACTGACAATACCGAATTATCGGCGATATAAGTGAAAATCTTAGTTTCAGGTCGTCGTCGGGCAACGTCGATGATGTACGAAAATGAACAAAATCGATTTTATCTTTCGTATCAACGAAGTTTGTTACAACGAGACTCGAGTACAATGTGACCAATTCATTTTATTCTTGTTTTTTTTGTTCTTCTTTCTTCGTAACGCCCGCGTCATCGAGCCGTGAAGTAGGTAATTACTGGCTCAGCAGCCATTTGTCGGGCGATAACGAATGACGAATGTTTGTTTGTAAGAAGATGCCTTCGAGACGCGATCCTGACAATAGCAGTGACAATAGCAGTTCTATCTTCCATCCATTGTGCGTTGTAAGTTCGGATTTATTTGGCATGGTCCACACTAAAAACGTTATTCTCTAAGAACATTGCAGAAATATTAGCGTACCACACGTGTGTTCACTTTGAAATCTGACAGCACACTAAAATTGGACATATTCTAAAATAGCTAATTCGAAGAAATAATGTGTTATTTTATTGCACACCTGCATGTCATAAAATTAAATATTGGTTACAATGTTATTTCTATGTAAACGCACCCCCAAAACAATGATAAGACCATAAAAAGCTTATCCATACACGATTTTTTTGTACAGGTATAAACAATATAAGGGCCTAATTAATACTTTTGCTCGGGGCGGTATATACTGGTGGTAGGACCTCTTGTGAGTCCGCACGCGTAGGTACCACCACCCTGCCTATTTCTGCCGTGAAGCAGTAATGCGTTTCGGTTTGAAGGGCGGGGCAGCTGTTGTAACTATACTGAGACCTTAGAACTGATATCTCAAGGTGGATGGCGGTATTTACGTCGTAGATTTCTATGAGCTCCAGTGACCACCAGGTGGGCTGTGAGCTCGTCCACCCATCTAAGCAACAAAAAATAAAATAAAAATATTAGAACTAATTGTCGGTTTAGTCTCGTGTTTGTTATTTTCATTTTTGTCAGGGTAATAAACCCTACCTAATCGCCGGTAGCCTATAGAGCTATTCCAGTTACGCACGGTTTGGTAGGTGAGTTTACAGGGTTCAACTTGGGAGGACTTGCTAAAACTGGCCCTAGCAACAACAGTGCTTCTCTGAATCTACCTCCGGCTCTTAATCGCGACTCACCTAGAACATTCGGCGTGAAACTCAGAGGGTTAGCTACAGCATCTTTTTTTTGTTATTTTTTTTTTTGCGTTATTGATGCACAAAACAAATTACAATCATTACAGTACATATTAGCTAAATCGTACAATTAGTACCTAGATCTAATCTGGATTGCAATCTAAATAGTATGTACACTCAGCAAAACCATAATAATGTGCATAGCTTTGGCTATTGAAAACACAATTGAAATTACAAATATTGATAACTAGCCATTGTTAAATAGGATATCCTTCACACATCTGACAAATCCCCTGAGTCTAGGTTGAAAGATATCATGGTTACCGTGACATTTATCCAAATCATTATACTGCCTGACCATTCTTACCATAGGGTTATAATATGATATATTATTTCGATACAAGTGCACTGGAGAGTTGTATCCTTTGAGCTAATGACAGAGTTTCAACTGATTCAGTTATATCTGAACAATCGACACGTGGGCGCAACGCTACAACTTCGTCTTTAGATTTTAGTGACCTGTATTAATCGGTAAGACCCGTTTATCCTATGGGCACGTAGGCGTTAAATCAAATTGAGCTCAATCTGTGTACAAATTAAGCTCTAAGTTAATTGTAGATCATATAAATATAATTCCAATTATGTGTGGGTGTCAGAATTGAAATTACTGTATTAATAACATGCACCAAAAGTACTTTGATATTAATTCTAGAATTTTAGGTCAATGTTATTTTAAAAAATATAGCTTGTATGGCGATAGGCAGTGGCTTAGCCTCTGGCGTAGCTGACGTTCACCAAGAAAGGTAACCAGTCACCATCAGACGTGCCTTACGCTGACACCGACTTTATGTATCAGTAGCACAGGAAATTTGGCGCAGCAAGAGGATTTGTTGCATCCCAATACATCCTGATATAATTGTTAAATATTGCGTTTTACGACATGGGCCACGGACGTTTTTGATGGCATGCCACTCTGGATTCCTTAAGACACCACTTCCTCATCATTCGTCTGCGGTAGATAGTATTCTCTAATTTTTTTCCGTAGGTTTTTCTATTCTCGATTCCTGTTTTACGGACTATAATAGATGTGTGTCTTATTCGTCTGAATTCGTCTTTCTTTCCGTAATTTTCCAACTGATGTCTATTAAGATAGTCTGCAGAAATGAGCGAAGAAATGGTATATAATAGAGGAGTATGGAAGGAGAAAGCATGTTGCGCCGACCCCAGGTGCCTTGGAGAAGGGCAGGAGAATGATGTGTATTAAAATAGTCTTCAATTGCTTATTTGAAGTCATCAAAAGATGTAACATTTTAAACGCTAATAGGCGGTTAGGAACCTAGCAATAAGAATCTGTGGTGCCAGGTTCTTACTTATTATAGTAAATGTCTAGATGAGTCCACGATGTACCTTATTATTAGAGCCCATAGACATCCCGACGTCACCTTGAGACGCATCGTAGAAGCATTATGCTTTATAGACACTGTGTTTTACTGGTGGTAGGACCTCTTGTGAGTCCGCGCGGGTAGGTACCACCACCCTGCCTATTTCTGCCGTGAAGCAGTAATGCGTTTCGGTTTGAAGGGTGGGGCAGCCGTTGTAACTATACTTGAGACCTTAGAACTTATATCTCAAGGTGGGTGGCGCATTTACGTCGTAAATGTCTAAGGGCTCCAGTAACCACTTAACACTAGGTGGGCTCTGAGCTCGTCCACTCATCTAGCAATAAAAAAAAAATAAAAAAAAATAGACAGTGCAAAGATGTAGACGAAATATACGCAATGTTTTTTTGATTTGGGAGCACAGGAGTTACACCTGGAATATCGGTACAGTTCGAAGTTAGAATTATACAGAATCAATGAATTACAAACATATCAGTGGACCTGACGTTCTGCTTGCCAATAATTATGCTGATATGGTAAAATATACTCTCACCAAAAGAACTTGATATTCGGTTTTCTCTCGATAAGTTAATAACAACGGTGTCAGTAAGCCTCGAAAATGTAATCGTAATGTCAATGAAATTTAGTATAGAGTTCTGAATTTTCAGAACTGGTTCTATACGATATATAATCTTTATTTTTAATTTCATTTAATTTTGAAAGGTAATTGGGTTTGTATATTCTTAGCTCCTTTAATTAAATGCACATAGGTACGAAGTTTTTAAAACTATTCACTTCCAATTGAATAAATACGTTAACAAAATTTTTAAAACGGCGTCCTCATTTTTAAAACGATTCTAAATTGCATTTTTATCGTACAACTAAAATACCAATAATAGTTTTGATCGTTAATTCCTAGTACACAGAAGGAATGCATCGTGTACACTTCGGAACAACCGTACAAAATCATGGACCCACCTTTTAACAAACGCTGAACTCCACTTCACAATGAATAACACTGCACTGTTAATAATAATACTCTTTGTGATTTTTTTATAGTAATTGCGGATAAGTGAGCGCGTATTTTGTCAAAGCGTATAAAAACAAAAACAGCCACGCTCAACGCGACCGCCGCCAAACTGACTTCGGCTTGAACTAACAAATATAAATCTACTGCGTTCCTTGGCAGCCGTTCCGCTTCGTTGTTTGTGTACTCCATCGCTTTGTTTGATGCTCATTTCTCTCTATCAAGTTGAAGAAATGAATAGTTCAACATAAGTTTTCGTGTCTTTTATTTTGACAGTAAGTATTTTGGTCATATTTTTAGTAAAACTTTGAAACTGGAAGCATTATACTTTTTAGCGTCACAATGCAAGCATTTTGCTAATTTCAGATAATAACAAAATGATTAGGTTTGGTTTTGTATACCTAACCGCCTAGCTGAAATTAATATCGTCTGTAAATGTCAAAGGTAATTTTAAATGAACAAAATTAGCATAGATCTAATTTTGGGTATTTCTTTTGGTCGATTTTATAAACTTAATAAGTTCGTTTTCCAATTTTAGATAAAGCTGGACTCATGCCCTTTTTCACAAGAGACATGTAGAATTTCAACAACAGCAATGAATTGCACAACGCGCGCTGTTACCGCCATATTTTTCCAGTATTTTTCGCGCCATACGTGCATACTGTCTGTTTACGATTTATCATTTACTTTGTTTTCTTAGTAATAATAATCAATTGAGCAATTACTTTGCACTGTACTTGTTATTTTTTTCGTTTTAAATTGGTTTTTGCTGTTCTTGTTTTTATCAATTTGACGAAACAGGTATTTGAAAAACAGTTTTTGTTCTCGAAAGAAATCGTTGGGATAAGTATGTCTAACTATCAAATTTGGTAAAGAAAAATGATCTTTAAATTAAGTTCCATAAAGTTCCAATTATGTTATTAGATCTTGACAAGGAACATTTTTGTTTTGTTTTTGTCGAACAAATATTCTGGAGATCAAAGTTTAATATAATATCTACATATAAAATATTGCATAGCAATCTAAGCACTTAAAAGGTATAAAAACCGTGATGATTGGTTGAGTAGGTTATTGTCTATTTTGACGGTTCCGTCTTGATTTAAAAAGAAACAGAGTTAGACATTGTCGTTAACATAAAGAGCAGGTAAGTTCTTAGATTATCTCAGGGCAAATTGGGATTCAATACATTTTTTTCAGGACAGGGGACCGATCCACACACACCTCACACGCCTCACGCATGAGGTTTCACACTTAGGAGGCGCGCGGGGTGTTTGAGTCTTATTGGAACGGGGCGCGGGGGAAGTTAGGACCTGAGACTTTTCGTGTTTAGCAGAAATATTGAAATAATTATCCCGAAGCGTTAAATGCATATATTAAATTCGTAGTATATTGGCAATTCCACGAGCTGGAATCAAACGCGTGTGTTTCGTGACAATACGATGGATTAAAAAAAATCAAATCCCACCGAAATTATAAATTTATCCAATTACAGGGCTGATTTGGAAGGTCTAATTTACGTCCAAAACATGTAAGTAAGCATGTACTTAAGCATTCTACTGCTTGTACTTTTGTAGGTACTACTTCTTGTACTTTTTGACGAATCATGTTGCTGATAGCTCTCTTTCTGTAATCTGACGAAGCGTGTTGCGGATAATAACATGTATTTTAAGGTTAGGAATATTATGTTCTTTTTTATAATAAATTTAATACAAGTAATAAATTTAAAATGTACGTTAACATAATTATATTGAATTCTTTTTCTACTAACTCAGTGGTATGAAAGTGTCTTGAAATACGCTGTAGCCCCGGATTCGTTGAGGTCGCATTTCTTTTGGGTGCAATCGAACTTTTCATTTCTGCCGTCCCCAATCTTCCGGAAAAATAATCATACTCTTACGCTATGAAGACCTCAGAGAGAGTTTGTAATTCCATCACTCTGAATTCGTGGTCGTGTTGCCTCGTTTGGCTACATAACATATTTACTCCTTAAATCATATAGGTACTATCGTGCCCTTATTTGGATTTCCCGTAAATGGATGAAGAGAATTAAACCCACACCAATTGTTCAAATGAATCCAAAATAAGTCTACCCACTAATTACACCAATTAGCAAGCTGCCATATTTTTTGCAGAACTGCCGTAAAATAACTATCGAAGAACACAGCAATTTGAATGTTGCTGCTAGCCATGAGAACTCTTGGAACTGGAAATCATCATTTCGCGTCGGAGATTTTTTCATTTGGCCTGGAGGGCTTTCCAGTTTCACCAGGACAGGGGAGCGAGTAAAGCCAAGAGGAGTGGAATTTGCTGACAGCCGCTTGAGTGCCTCCGAAGGAGACCCAACAACTCAAGAGCAGCTGCTACTACCGGATCGGAATCGCGACCCGCTGAGAATATCCGACGAGAAACTGAGCGGGCTGATGTATAAGCTAGGTTGCACGTCGACCTCTTTGTCGAATTCGAGTACATCAGAGTGACATCAGAGGTATGCGAGATAGGGGTGGATATGAATCAACTTTTCTCGGCTGTATTTTGTCTGGACCATGTCAATGGTGTCCCTGTTTGAATGGTACGTAGAAGTCTCGTTGCCTCTGCGGACGGAACTTATTGCTTCATCATCGAGGGTAAATTCTCGTACAAGCGCCTGAGATCTCTTAGTAGCAGGTGTTCTCGGAACGCAACATCTCTATACGTATGAAGTGATGGCTATCGGTGGAAGATCTTTCTTTTCGTCGTATATCTCTACAAACTGGAGTTTGTTGGTTTTTTAATGACGAAGGGAAGATCTTCCCCACCAAGCGGGTGATATTGCTCGGTAGACCGACGGTCCGAATGTTTTTTTTTTTCTCCCTAAGCTGATAGCCTTGAGAGGCTATTTTATTTATTTATTTAATGTTATCATCTGACATTTGCAAGGTGACACTCTACAAAACTTGCATACGCCCCGTCATGACCTATACAAGTGTAGTGTTCGCTCACACGGCCCGCACTCACTTAAAATCATTCCAAATCATTCATACACGTTTTTTCAGGGTAGCCGTCGGAGCCCCGTGGTTCGTCAGGAACGTCGACCTCCATAACGACCTGGACTTAGAGTCCATCAGTAAGTATTTGCAGTCGGCGTCGATGCGCCACTTCAATAAAGCGGCACGACACGAGAACCCTCTCATCGTAGCCGCCGGTAACTACATTCACGATCCTGCGGAAAGAATGGAAAGCAGTCGACGTCGCCCAAAACACGTCATATCGGATCCTCCCGATCCACTAACGGGGCTTTTTGGTACTTCAAGCGCCGGTCACCGTTCTCGTCGAACCCGTCGCTTGACAAAGGGCTCGATGAGTAAATTAATCCTCAGACACAGCCCACTGAGTTTCTGGCCGGATCTTCTCAGTGGGTCGCGTTTCCGATCCGGTGGTAGATTCTGCGAAGCACTGCTCTTGCTAGGGCCAGTGTTAGCAACACTCCGGTTTGAGCCCCGTGAGCTCACCTCCATGTTAGGGCGAAGCTGAAGTAGCCTTCAAGGCTATCAGCATAGGTAGGAAAAAAAAACAGAGTGCGGTGTGCGGGGTTGAAGTGAAGTGTTTGTAGTTTTTGGCGCTGTTTTTAAAATCTTTCCACTTGCTACTGTGGCGCCACCTTAATTAGGTCCCTTTCAGCGGACACTTTTTGATACACTGATATAGTACTCATTGCTTCTACCTTAGTCATTAATAGTAGTCATTTAGTATAGTAGTCATTAATAGCAACAATAAGCGGCGAGCTAAAGAAAGATTAAATACTAAAATTAAAACAATTAAAATTAGTTGAATTTTTTTTGTGATTCTGGTAAGTCGTTAATAATTCCCAAAAATAGTGATTGAACTAATTTTAGACTGTTTTGTATAATATTTTTCGTTGCCCATTGCGGTAATAATGTCATGTTAGATTATTATACCATAAATATATTGTAATAGGTTCTAAAAAAGGATCGAACAAGTTGATCTACAGAATTATGGAGACAATATTGTTTTACGTATGATATAAAAAAATGTGTGTAGGTCTGGTTAAATAAAACATTGTTTAAAATTAATTTTGACGCTTGGTGGATTGATTTATCACTAGTTTTATTGTATAGCTGAAAAAGTCAAAGCTCATCTCGTGCTGAATGGTTTTCTGAAGATATCACGACTTGATTGCCTTATAGCTTAAGTTTTGAGGTAGAAAGCTCAATTGTGTAGTGTGACAGTTGTGCCATCTGCAGTGACAGCTTCACGGCAGAAATAGACCGGCTTACAGTCGTAGTATCACCAGTAAATGATTAACTATTGAAATTTATTAATAATATGAACAGTTGAAATTTTTCTTTTAAAACATAAATTGTATATCAGAAGTAATTTTTTATTTATTGCATTAATGGATGGAAGAGCTCACAGCCCACTTGATGTTAAGTGGTTACCTTGAGATATAAGTTCTAAGGTCTCAGTATAGTTACAACGGCTACCCCACCCTTCAAACCGAAACGCATTACTGCTTCACGGCAGAAATAGGCGGGGTGGTGGTACCTACCCGTGCGGACTTACAAGAGGTCCTACCACCAGTGATTACGCAAATTATAATTTTGCGGGTTTGATTTTTATTACACGATGTTATTCCTTCACCGTGGAAGTCAATCGTGAACATTTGTTAAGTACGTATTTCATTAGAAAAATTGGTAACCGCCTGCGGGATTCGAACACCGGTGCATCGCTACATACGAATGCACCGGACGTCTTATCCTTTAGGCCACGACGACTCTGCTGATCTGATACAACTAATTAAATAAATTGATTTAAATAAAACGCATTTCTCACTCAATTTACGATCAATTCTCTTTATTAATTTCAAAGGGAACATAGAAGTCAAGTTAACAGTATGTTACGTACACGCTAAACAATAGTTTTCCATCAAATCTTTCGATGATATGCAAGTTTTATGTTTCAAACTTTTTGATATGCATACATTAATTTAGTTAATAAATATATTATCGAGTGATATGAAGATCCGGGACTCTGTTAATTGCAGACGAGCTGACAGATTCCGTGCTAAAGTTTAGAGAAACTTATCTTAAGGTGTAGATCGACTGTATTCGGCAAATTCGATCTTTTAAAATCGAATTTTCGGAAGAATCCTCACTCATGCCACTCACTCGCGGTAGGCAGCGGCTTGGCTCTGCCCCTGGTATTGCTGAAGTCCATGGGCGACGGTAACCACTCACAATCAGGTCGGCCGTATGCTCGTCTGCCTGCAAGGGCAAAAAGAAAAAAAATTATATCAATGTTCGTATCTTGTCAATACGCTAACGACTGTTACCATTTTCTTTTAGACTAGCGAACGAGGTTACGACCCACCTGGTGTTAAGTGGTTACCGGAGCCCATAGACATCTAAAACGTAAATACCACCACCCACCTTGAGATTTGAGTTGTAAGGTTTCACTTTTGACAGTAAAACAATTGCCCTGCCCTTCGAACCGAAACGCATTACTGCTTCGTGGCAGAAATAAGCAGGGTGGTGTAGGTACCTACCCGCGCGGACTCTTGAGGTCCTATCACCCATATGACCTGTCATAATTTTCAAACAATAAAACATTTCATTACATTTTCATTCATTTATTACTGGAGGTAGGACCTCTTGTGAGTCAGCGCGGGTGGGTACCAACACCCTGCCTATTTCTGCCGTGAAGCAGTTATGTGTTTCAGTTTGAAGGGTAAGGCAGCCGTTGTGACTATACTTGAGACCTTAGAACTTATATCTAAAGATGGGTTGCGCATGTACGTTGTGAATGTCTATGAGCTCCAGTAACCACTTAACACCAGAGGGGCTAGTCCACCCATCTAAGTAATAAAAAATAAATAAAAAAATTGCGAAGACGACCCTAAAGCAATATACAAGTTGGAAGGGGTCACGCGAAGTTCATATCACTTGATTTCCAAATTACTAAAATATTCATCAATACTTGTTCAATTTTGTGCGTAGAGCAAAAACACCTAGGGTTGTATTTTCTTTAAATTTATATCTATATAATTTTATTAATTACTGGTAAACGTTAATTAGCGTATTTCTTAGAATTATCATATAAGAACACAAAAATTAATATTAATAATGCTAGATTGCAAGTTTGTATTGGTATTTTTTTTTATTGCCCTTATAGGCAGACGAGCATACGGCCCAGCTGATGGTGAGTGGTTACCGTCGCCCATGGACTCCAGCAATGCCAGGGGCAGAGCCAAGCCGCTGCCTACCGTTTAATACTCTCCACAAGCCTCGTTTGAAGAAGGACATGTCATAGCGCTCGGGAAACACTGTGGAGGGGAGCTCATTCCATAGTCGGATGGTACGCGGCAAAAAAGACCTCTGGAAACGCACTGTAGATGACCGCAGTGGCTCCAGGTAGTATGGATGAACTCTACTCCGATGGCGGGCGGTGCGATGGTATAAACGAGATGTTGGTATCATCTCGAACAATTCCTCAGAGCACTCCACTATTAAAAGCTTTTTATAATTTTCAAAATTTTTACTGACATTGACCATGGTCAGGTTTAGAAAATAGCCCCATAAAGAACAATGCAGTCAGGTGTCAGACCTCATCATATTATCTTAAAGGGACATCCAGATGTCTCCCTAGATTTTTTTCTATTGACCCGCTTTTTTCATTATCGGGTCTATTTTCTGATTACCCTACAACGAAATTAAGGCAAGCGAACATTTCTAGAACACATTTCTAGAAGGTTTTCGTAAACAATAATCCGCATTTTTCTATCAACAACTACCGATTAAGTCTTATTTCAATTTTGTTCACTTCCGCCATATTGCACTGTCTTTTTTTTTTATTGCCCTTGTAGGCAGACGAGCATACGGCCCACCTGATGGTGAGTGTTTACCGTCGCCCATGGACTTCAGCAATGCCAGGGGCAGAGCCAAGCCGCTGCCTACCGCTAAACAGTCATGTGACAGTATCAACGTGTGTTAATGATAAAAGATCTTATGTATCAACCAAGGACATATTAGTTATTACTCTTAGTACTTGAGTATAATAGTCTGTAATTGAATCTTTCGACACTTGACTCTTTGTTTGACCTGCATGCCTGTATATTTCTTTGGTACACTGCGGCGTAAGCCTTTTGACCGATTTTAACAAATGAGGTATTAAATTTATTACAGTTGTGGAAGTGATTTTTTGTATATGATTTCAATATAGGTAGTAATAATATAGCAGCCATTTTATTTGATTTATGCTCAAATATCTAAACAATGTGAAATATATTAATAGATAATATTAAACAAAACAAAAAACCCGTATGCATTAAAACGCTAACTCAAAACCGAAAAACAAGCTATGTTAGTAAAGGTATTGCTAAAAGCAAAGAAATACATAAAATATATTTGTGTGTACTCTAAAGGCTTCGTCAAACAGAACGCGTAATTAGCGCGCGTCAGAGCGCTAAACTGACGCCGCGCTATGACGCCGAGGTGTGTTGTACTACTGTGGTAACATACCGTCAAACTGAGCGCCAGCGCTATGCTATAGTATAGCTCTGACGCGCGCTAATTACGCGTTCTGTTTGACGAAGCCTTAAACGTTTCCATTTGACCCTTTGAGCGCGAACCGTCGATAGATCGACTTTCTACTAATGCGTATAAAGCGCGGAGCGTCGGAATACCGACTATTGCGCAGTTTGATTATAGTTTGATGCTACGGACGTGTCTTAACGCGCGCACACATATAATAAGTTAATAACATTCATAAATAACAATTTATAATTATTTTACTGTGAATCATATTTTTGGTATTATATTTTCTTAGCAAATTTCTCCAAAACATTTATTTATTTATTTATTTATTTATTTATTTAAGGATTACCGACAGGGTTTACAGTAAGACATAAAATAACATTGACATGTATAGAGCAATTGATAACTGCAACTCTAATTATAGGCAATCACTAATTATAATATAATTATAACTATTATCTAATTATAACCAATACAAATTTGAAAGTAACCTATTTTTTTTTGTTTTATTTAATGATTTATTTTATTATTTGCGTTGCCTTATTGCGCAATTGGATCATTCACATTAGAATTATAAACAATAACAATAAGACAATATACAATCCGTAGTTATCAGGGCGCTGCATTTATTTCTCCTTATAAATATTTAGCCCTTACAAGTAGATCTGCAGACGTGTTCTCTGCTCACCTGATGTTTAGCTGTTGTAGCTTGAATCCCATGGCCTACCTCGCAATCTGAGATCGAATACTCAATTGCATTAGACGCCCATCCTACCTTCCAGCCAGAACATCAGAACCATCAGAAATAGATTATAAATGTTTCATAACAAACAAAACTAATATTGACATGTGATAATTAATATAAAATTATAACTATTTTAACAGATTAATCTGGCGTTTATTATTTCGAATGATTTATGTACACGTCGGCGTCAGGAAAATTAATGGTTCCAAACGATGGAAATTTTGAAATAAAAATAATAAACGCAAGATAATATAATGTTGTAACTATGCAGGTCTAATTAGATATAATTTTCTTAGGTAAGAGATTAATAGTCGGCTTCAAAAATAATATACATATAAAGAACTAAGTTAAATCAAAAATTTAAAGTTCAGTCATTCCTCAGACACATCCCACCCCCTCCTCTCGGCTGGTGGTCGTGGCGCCGACGACCGCCAGTCCGGCGTCCCGAGGGGGAGGGTGATGAGAGAGATGTGCTCCGCACTAAACGCTTCACTCTCCCCCCTTTGCCTTTTCATGGGTTCTGTCTCATGCGAGGTTACAGGAGGTTTTAGTCAGTTCGACTCCGACGAAAAAAAAAAAAAACCCCTCCTCTCCTAAAACAGATCGGACTCCTTATATTCAATTAATATTCCTTGTCCCAGATCTTTATTTACAAATATTAGTACATATATTTCATTTAGGCAAACACAATACGCCGTTCTTACAATATCTATATAAAAACTAATAATATAAAAACTAGAAAGTCTTTAAATAAAAATAAAAATATATTACACAAAACATTATTGAAATTTATCGAAAAATTATTAATCCAGTCAACATTCAAATACCTTTCTTTTAAAATCTACAGAATAACACTTACTTAAAATATTTGTTTTTTTTGGTTTTAAAACTGAAATCAAAATTTCAGATTTTAATTTGTTTTCTGAATAAATGGTGACTCTTTCTGTACTGCCGTATTAATTTGCAAAAAAGGGAAAGGGATTATGTGGTTGCTTATACTAAATAGATATAATGAATTTGTTCTTCAAACTTTTGGTTGTAAATAATGAAATTGGACGAAGCCGCAACTCATTTTAAAATTCATTTATAAGTCAACTCTGATAAACTAATTTGACACAGTTTCCACTTATAATCTAACTAAAATTATTTATCTTTCACCCTCTCTCCTTAACAGCCTATTCACTCTGAAGATTCTGTTTTTATAGTTCTCGATGGGACCGCGTCTCAACATGCGCGATATCGCCATGCGTGTGACAGCTGCTTTATAGCTCGCTGGCGATAAAAGGGCGGGAGTCTCGCGAGTCCTCAAAATGTCGGACGGCAAGATGGCGGCGTCCGACAGCATGGCGTCAACTTCGGAATTTAACATGGCGATTGAATCAGACGAAGACGTATGGTTTGTGATCGGTGTACACAGCGGGATCGCGTTTGACCATTTCCTGTTTCTGTGAAGTACAAATTATTTCATCGGGTTAAGTAGTACTATGATATGTATCTCATAGAGAGGTTTTGAAAAGAGTTATGGCGGGTGGGAAAGCTTGTTTGAGCCTCCGGCATTGCTTGTCCGGCTTTGCTCATAAATTTCGCAGTTAGGTACCAATTTTTCTAAAGAAATACATTTTTGACAAGAGTTCATTAATTTGATCCACACAAATTATTTTTTACGTGACGAAAAAAATTTAATTTACGTGCTCACTGATGGAAAGACTAAAACATTCTCGAATATTCCAATTTTTTCGAGAGCGTTCTAATTGGCCATAGAATGTTCTCGACATAAGCAAGTCAAGTCTAGAACATTCTCAAATATTCTAGTTTAATAGGAATCGTTCTGGAATATTTTAAACATAGTAGAAACAATTATAGAAGCATGAAATAGGAGACATGAAAACCGTTTTATTCTAGGCGAAGCGATATACGGTACATCTCAATAAACCGAAAAATAGACTCGTGACAGTGAAGTAAGTCTACTTGTGTTATTAATGAAATTGTTTTTTTTTTTTTTTTCCTGCCTAAGCTGATAGCCTTGAGAGGCTATTTCAGCGTAACCGTGGCTAGTAGGTGAGCTCACGGGGCTCAAACCTGACGACGATGCTAACACGAACCCTAGCAAGAGCCGGTCTTCGCAGAATCTACCACCGGATCGGAAACGCGACCCACTGAGAAGATCCGGCGAGAAACTCAGTGGGCTGTGTCTGAGAGTTAATTTACTCGTCCAGCCCTTCGTCGCAAGCGACGGGTTCGACGAGAACGGTGACCGGTGCTTGAAGTACCTAAAAGCACCGTTAGTGGATCGGGAGGATCCGAGATGACATGTTTTGGTTGACGTCGACTGCTTTCCATTCTTTCCGCAGGATCGGGAATGTAGTTACCGGCGGCCACGATGAGAGGGTTCTCGTGTCGTGCCGCTTTATCGAAGTGGGGCTTTGAGTTTCAATTAGTATTTCAGTAATGAGTCTATGTTTATTCTCAGCTCCAACTCGTTATAGTACGATACAATTAACTTTGCCTTTCAAATAATAAGCCTTGGTTTGTTAACAATTTTGACTTACTTCAAGCATCTCAACATGGGTGCTCCTTTGAGTTTGTATCCAGGTTCACAGGTAAACGTGACTGTTTCACCTATTTTGTAGTAGAACTTTACGGAGGACATGCGCCCGGATATCGTCGTCCCGGGGTACGTGCAGGCCTGGGCACCTGGCAGAGATACACACAGGTGGTGGAATTAACGAAGTCGTCGTGGCCTAACGGATAAGACGTCCGGTGCATTCGTATCGAGCGATGCACCGGTGTTCGAATCTCGCTGGCGGGTACCAATTTTTCTAATGAAATACGTACTCAGCAAATGTTTACGATTGACCTCCACGGTGAAGGAATAACATTGTGTAATAAAAATCAAATCCGCAAAATTATAATTTGCGTAATTACTGGAGGTAGGACCTCTTGTGAGTCCGCACGGGTAAGTACCACCACCTTGCCTATTTCTGCCGTGAAGCAGTAATGCGTTTCGGTTTGAAGGGTGGGGCAGCCGTTGTAACTATACTTGAGACCTTATATCTCAAGGTGGGTGGCGCATTTACGTCGTAAATGTCTATAGGCTCCAGTAACCACTTAACAACAGGTGGGCTGGGAGCTCGTCGAGCCATTTATACACATGAATAAAATTGGAGTGTCTGTTTGTAATATTGAAATAACCGCTTTTTACTACATGCATTTGAATATATATATACGGTACATACACCAAAATAACATTTTTTACAATTTTTGTCTGTCTGTCTGTCTGTTTGTTCCGGCTAATCTCTGGAACGGCTGGACCGATTTTGACGAGACTTTCACTGATAGGTAGCTGATGATATAAGGAGTAACTTGGCTACTTTTTTTTAAGACTAACCGCGGGTAAAATCGCCGGACTCAGCTATCAATAATAAAATTTAATGTTTCCGAAGCGAAGGGAAGGCGGGTCGCTAGTATAGCAATAAAAAAAAAGCCCTCAAAAGCATTTAAATCACTTACAGGTTGGAGGCTTGTCGCTCCATCGCCCGCTGTCCTGGCAGACGAGGATCGGTCGCCCGTGGAGCGTGTGCTCTGGGTTACAGTGGAACTGCAGGACGTCCCCGGCGCGGTAGGGGGCGCGACCCAGGACGTAGCCGGCCGCGGGCGGCGGCAGCGACGGACATGACACTTCTTTGTAAAGGATTACAGCATACGCGTTAGGGACATGAAAATATCTAATGTACGGTGTGTTCAGCACCAACTCATGTCTCGAGATGGGTGGTGGTATTTACGTGGTTGATGTCTATGGGCTCCGGTAACCACTTAACACCAGGTGGGCTGTGAGCTCGTCCACCTATCTAAGCAATAAAATCCCTCTGTTTTTTCATCTTTGCGATATTAATTCCAGTTTTACCAGGACAAGTGGGCGAGCAAAGTCTCAGCCAGGAAGGGCGGCATAAAAGCGACACGAGCGCCTCCAAAGGAGACCTAACAACATAAGTAGCTGCTTCGCGAATGAATCTACTACCGGATCGGAACCGCAACCCGCTGAGAAGATCCGGCGAGAAACTGGAAATGCATGGGTTAGGTTGCACGTCGACCTCTTTGCCGAGTTCGACGAGTACGGTTACAAGGTCCCCACTTCTAGTGTTAAAGCTAAAGGCGTCTAATGCAAGGGTTTCATCCTTCTGTTATTATAGTGATAGCAGCTCCAATGATTTGAGAAATTATTATTGTAAATTGCTTTGCTTCACGTATTTAATATATACTAGAGGTCTCGCAGTAGTCAAAATTCGACTATAATTAATTGGAATTGTAAGTTTGTACACTATTATGATTGTATTTTATACTTCTATAATCACAAATTTCGCCAAGACTACACTATAAAAAATATTAACAAAGACAAACAATAATTAATCTCAATTTGACAACAGACGTCCAGAGCAAAAGTTTGACAATAAATAGTGTGCATGCGTGTGTGCCTCAAATACATGGTATGTAGTGTGTGTAATGTTTTCCTTATTGAACAAATGTATCTTTTATGCATTATTAAAAAAAAAAATAGCATTATGCACTTCTTCTCTATATTCTCTATAAGTGTGGAAAAATTCATACTCCTCCGTCCGCGCAATTTTCGTAAAAAGAGATACAAAGTTTTTGCTTCACGTATTAATATATAGATAGATGAAGGCAGTACCTTTACAGACAGGGAAGGGTCGCGCCCAGTCAGCGGCGGGCAGACAGACGGTCTCTGGTGGTCCGGCCAGCGCCCAGCCCGCCGGGCACGTGAAGGCGGCGCGACCCCCCACCCCCCGGGACACCACCGCCACCCGCGGCCGCCGCTCCCCCGGTCCCAGCACCGTGTCCTGCACCACCTCCCCGCACTCCACACCTGGCGCAGTCATCACACACGATGAAGATACTATAGTATTTTATCTTAAGATACCTGGATATAATATATTATAGTATCTTAAGGTATAACACACGGTTTTTATTTATTTATTGCTTTATTATTTATTATTGCCTACCACTAGTTTTTTTATTACGATTCATAATTTGATTAAAGACGATATCAAGGAGCAAAATGCGTGAATGCTTAGACATATCGCGTGTATCATAGTATAATATTTCCATATCGCTTGATAGCTAAAGATACTGTAAATGAAAATATATATTATATCTTGACCATTTGTGATAGTTATTACAAAATATATGGCGAGCCATATTGTATGTTAAGATAAAATATTATAGTTTCTTCGCCGTGTGTGACGCCCTTTAAGCCGTTAACTCCTACCAAACTCGGAGACTGCGACTTTGTTAGGTAATCAGCACATTTAAATAATGAGGTTGGCTGGCAAGAGCTGGATGAGAGAAGCCGAGGATTGTGCGCAGTAGCATATAATTGGGGAGGCTCACATCTAACAGTGGACTGCTATAGGCTGATGTAGATGAATACAGAGGGAGAAGTATCAAATATAAGCTAACATTGTCGACTACATCGCAATCTAGAACAAAAACTTAAGACATCCTTGCTGCTTTAAGTCTAATGCCAGCAGGCGCTAATAAGGTCTTCGAATTTAAGTTTATGATAGGCCTTGTGTCGAGAAGTTTTGAGGCCAAAACTGATACTCAGGTTTAAGCTTTAAAGTACAAGAGGACTCACTCTCACAAACAGGCAGAGGGGCACTCCAGTTTCCGGAGGGGCGGCAGACCAGCACGTGGGCCCCGATGAGGGCGTTACCATTGGCACACGAGAACCTGATTTCCGTGCCGAGACGTGTGCCTACGTTGCTGGCCACCAACCCTCGTCGGATGGGTAGTGGCGGACAATGGACGTCTAAAAAAACCCAAACATATTAAAAACTAGCGACCCGCCCTCGCTTCGCTTCGGATACATTAAATTTTATTATTGATAGCTGAGTCCCGCGGTTATTGTCGTATCGCGGGTGACGCCGTCGGGCGAAACTAGTCTAAAAAAAGTAAAATCGGTCCAGCCGTTCCAGAGATTAGCCGGAACAAAGACACAGACAGACAGACAGACAGACAGACAAAAATTGTAAAAAATGTTATTTTGGTGTATGTGAGTCGACTATTATCAAAGGCGGCAATCTGACTTTTGGACAATGATTGGTAAATCAGAAAAACGAATTATTGACTTTGTATTGCATTGGCAGTCACAAAACTCTTCGGAACGACATCTTAGATAAATAACAGGTTAACTATTAACCTTTATTTAATGCAGGTTTTGAAGCGTATTCTTTGAAGGAGACGATTATATTCAAATAAATCTGTATTGACATATCAATAAAAATGTTTTGTCCAAATGCACAGATTGCCACCTTTGATAATAGACGACTCATGTACCGTTTATATATTCATATCCATGTAGTAAAAATCGGTTATTTTAATATTACAAACAGACACTCCAATTTTATTTATATGTATAGATAGGCGAGTCCCGCCGTGTTGCGCGCGGTACGACAATAACTGCGGGTGACGCCGTGGGGCGAAGCTAGTCTAAAAAAAGTATTATTTATTTTTCATTTTTTAGTTCAATTTCTATTATCTATTAATATATATTTTTTTAATATTGAATTGTCATCGGTCCTTAATAAGTATACCAAATTTCGAGTTAATCCGACGTTTTGAAGGGGGTCAAAATCATGTTCAAAGATTCCGTTACATACATACTATAATATACATACGTCTGAAGCTAATAAAAGCGTATTAATAATTAGGAAATTATTTGACATTTATATTATTGAACTAGCCCTACTCTCCCGCTTCGCTGGGCATTTAAAATTAACGTTATTATTTCTCAACTCCACAAAGATTATCATCATTAACGCCCCCGCAACTGGTGTAGGAAGTCCAACACTCATATAAATATTAGCCTATCCATTAAGTACATGTATTTTCTACATGGACACTAAGTTTTAAGTCAATCGGATGCACGGTTCACTAGTTATAACGGAACATCCGTAAAAACCACTGTAGATTTATGTATTAGTATAGATTTTGTAAAGTTTTATCACTATTTTTGACTATAATCCTCGTACCCTCAACGATTATTTCTACTTGATGCGTTTGTCGGGCTGGCGTCTCGCATCGGTATACTCCTGAATCCTCCTTCACGGCGTTGACGATGCTCAGCCGGTACTCCAGCTGGCTGTCGCGCCCAGGGTCCTGGGTCCACCCCTCGGCATACTTGCGATCCGATCTGTGAGGAATTTATATTGCATCCTTGCATTTCAATTACCTCTATGATATTTTTAGTTTTGTCAAAAACTATAAAAAAATATTTTAAAATTTTTGAATACTAATCTATTTTGGCAGGTGAACGATATTACGGTCATTCCCGTATTAACATCACATCGTGAGTGGTACAAATGGCATTACGAAACATTATGGAATAATCTAGAACAATTAATGTCTATGTTGGAGCTCATAGACATCTATAACGTAAATGCGCCACCCACCTTGAGATATAAGTTCTAAGGTCTCAAGTATAGTTACAACGGGTGCCTCACCCTTCAAACCGAAACGCATTACTGCTTCACGGCAGAAACACGCAGGGCGGTGGTACCTACCCGCGCGGACTCCCAAGAGGTCCTACCACCAGTAATTACGCAAATTATAATTTTGCGGGTTTGATTTTTTATTACACGATGTTATTCCTTCACCGTGGAAGTCAATCGTGAACATTTGTTGCGTACGTATTTCATTAGAAAAATTGGTACCCGCCTGCGGGATTCGAACACCGTTGCATCGCTCAACACGGATGCACCGGACGTTTTATCCCTTAGGCCACGACGACTTCAATTTTATATATAAAGATTTAGATGGGTGAATGATATTACGGTCATTCACGTGTTAACATCACATCGTGAGTAGCAGAAACGGCCTTCAAGACATTAAGGAATAATATCACTGACGCTGTCTGTCAGTGATCAGTGTGCTAAGTGCGAGTTTTCTAACGTTCTCGATAGCGTAAAAGTTAGCTCATATTTGTATGGAATGGGATCGTTTGTCGCTAGGGGCGCTGTTCCAACTGCATACAAAATTGGCTTAACTTTTACGCTATCGCGAACGTTAAGAAACTCGCACTAAGCACACAGGATTTTTTACTTGTGTCTACGTTATGAATTGAGTATACTCACTCAGGATCGTAATGAGTGACGTTCCACTTGGGATTCCCGAACCTCCGCATCCAGAGGCACTCCATGTGCAGCACCGTTCCGGGGTACAGCAGGAGTTTACCGTCGTTAGTCTGAGCTATAGGTCCTTGGGAATGTCGGAATAATATCGTCGGCGGTTTCTCCACTGAAAATTACAATAAGCTTTGGTTTTTGATCAGTAAATACTACAGGACTCTAAACATCATCGCACCAGTTGATCGAACGAATAGCCGAAACGAATATCAAAGGTACTATTAACAACAAAAACGCCCGAGACGTACAACGCCATCTATTGTCAGATAGCGGAAACGCATATCGAAAGCATTAGACTTGTGAGGAATGTTCTCGAAAATTTTAGGGATGTCGTATCGACTATAAAAGTGTTTCAGAGATGTCACGAAGTCAGAGAATTTTGAAGTATTCGTTATGTGTTGAGTACAGTTTTATTTTTATTTATCCCGAACCAGATAATAAACACCTAGACAAAGAGCAAACAGACCTGTTCATCACACAATGTTTACCCGATGTGCGAATCGAACCCACGACCCTCAGCGCAACAGTCGAGGCGCTAACTACAGCACCACCAGGTCACTGAGTGTCTTTATGCAAACGTTTAATATTTGAATTAATAGTTAGGAGTACTCAATGTCTCGAAATGGGTGGCATAATTCTCGTTAAACTGCCCAAGAACTCTGTTGACTACTTAACATCAGCGTGGATGGATTGGATTGCCCTAGAAACGTCCTTACGGATCCATCAGATCCAATAACCGTTGCATTAGACGCCTTCAGCTCTAAAACTAGAAGTAGGGACCCCGGTAACCGTACTCGTCGAACTCGGCAAAGAGTTCGACATGCGACCTAACCCATGCATCAGCTCACTGAGTTTCTCGCCGGATCTTCTCAGCGGGTCGCGATTCCGATCCGGTGGTAGATTCATTCGCGAAGCAGCTGTCCTTGAGCTGTTAGCTCTCCTTCGGAGGCGCTCGGGCAGCTGTTAGCAAATCCCAGCCCTCCTGACTGAGCTGGCCCACCTGTGCTGGTGAGATTGGAAAAGCCTCCGAGCCACCAGTAATCCTTCCTTCATAAATAAATGTCTCCTCTTTAAGAAAAACTTACTGGCGTAATCGTTTTGCTGATTGAGTCCAATACAGGTTGGCTTAACACCGTCCCAATCTCCGCCAACACATTTTCGGCTCTGGGAGCCCAATAAAGCGTATTTTCCTATATCGCTGCATCTGCAATTCAAATAATGCTGTTAATTTGTTTTTCATATCACTCATTAAGTGTGGACTTCGTTTAAAATCTTCATACAGCCAGTTGACGCCTGGTAAAATCGAGCGTTAAAAAATCTTTGTTTTTTTTATATATATTCAAATAATAATGATAGAATTATCATATTATTATGTATAACACAACATAAATATTGAGTGTTTGTGTTTTTAAATCCAGTGTTGTATTAGTTTAGTGACATATTATGTGTTTTGATTACCATATATAAGTGAGCTTAGAAAAGACGCCAGTAATTCAAAACATTTCTTGAATAATTATCATATCATAGTGTTAAAAAGCACTAGTTAAAATTTATTTATTTTAACGATATTAAACTCTGTTGATGTTATCTTAGTGGAAAACTTAAAATTAAATATCATTCCGTAACTTATGTCCATCAAAAACAGATGGCAGCACATGTATTGTGCACAATTATTTATACTTAATATTCTATGTAATTAAACATCTTTTTAACGGCCATTGTAGGCATAGGGCCTACACAATGAGCAGAGAGGACATTTAAGGGCCACGGTTAAAGACACGTCACGGAGGGGAGTCCAACGAAAATGCACTTCGGATGAATACAATTTTCCTAATGAAAAAGGTTCTCAACAAATTTTCACGATTGACTTCCACGGTGAAGGAATATCATCGTGTAATAAAAATAAAACCCGCTAAATTATAATTTGCGTAATTACTGGTGGTAGGACCTTTTGTGAGTACGCACGGGTAGGTACCAGCACCCCGCCTACTTCTGCCGTGAAGCAGTAATGCGTTTCGGTTTGAAGGGCGGGGTGGGGTTGTAACTGTACTTGAGACCTTAGAACTTATATCACAAGGTGGGTGGCACATTTACGTTGTAGATCTAATAAAAACATTGATTTTAAGTTATAGTATGAATATAGTATGAATATATAATACATACGAGTGGTATGATTTTTTTTTTATGAAGTTATTTAATAAAATCTAGGACGCACTGTTTACCTGGAGACAATTACCACTCCGTAGGGTAGATCCACGGTCTCGGTGACTTCCAAATCGTTGAAGAACGTAACCACGTTCGGATCGTCGTTGTGAAATGTACAACTGTTATTGTTTATTAACTCCTCGTTCTGGGCTTCAAGTTCTTCTGTGAGTATTGCAATAAAGAGATAATTACTTATTGTATTAATCTAATTCGACGTGGCCTAAAGGATTTTTTTTTCCTACCTATGCTGATAGCCTTGAGAGGCTATTTCAGCTTCACCCTAGCGTTTGTAGGTGAGCTCGCGGGGCTCAAACCGGAGAGTTGCTAGCACTGGCCCTAGCAAGAATCTACCACCGGATCGGAAACGCGACCCACTGAGAAGATCCGGCGAGAAACTCAGTGGGCTGTGTCTATGGGTTAATTCGCTCGTCGAGCCCTTCGTCGCAAGCGACGGGTTCGACGAGGACGGTGACCGGTGCTTGTGGTGCCTAAAAGCACCGTTAATGGATCAGGAGGACCCGTAATGACGTGGTGGCCTAAAGGATAAGACGTCCGGTGCGTATTGAGTGATGCAACTGTGCCGGTGTTCGTATCCCGCAGGCGGTTACCGATTTTTGTAATAAAATACGTACTTAGAAATGTTCACGACTGACTTCGGCGTTGAGGATATAACGTTGTGAGATAAAAATCAAATCCGCTTAAATTATAATTACTATACAATTGAGATATATGTGTTGTGAGTCCGCACGGGTAGGTACCACCACCCCGCCGATTTCTGCCGTGGAGCAGTAATGCGTTTCGGTTTGAAGGGTGGGGCAGCCGTTGTAGCTATACTGAGACCTTAGAACTCATATCTCAAGGTGGGTGGCGGGATTTACGCTGTAGATTTCTATGGGCTCCGGTAACCACTTAACACCAGGTGGGCCGAGAGCTCGTCCACTCAGCTAAACTAAAAAAAAAGAATACACAGCGCAGCTGCATATTGGCTGTCTTTAAATCGGCTATAATATCGCACATAGAAACCATTACATACAAACAAACATACCTACATACCAATAAAAGCTTGTCAATAGAGATAATTGTCTATTACGTACCACAATTAAAACTCTTCCCCATCCAACGACCGTCTTCGCATATTAATTTCCAAGTTGTTTTCTCTCCCATTATCGAAGCGATACAGCGAAATGTGATTTCAGTACCGTGATAATAGCCTTCATCGTTGATGGATTCGTTGACTTCAGCTCCGTCGCGATAAATCAATGTCCCTTGAACCCTTAAAACCATATATGAAATCCCTTTAAATAGCAGAATACTTCAGAAGAATCTTTCAATCTAAATAAAGTTAAAATTTACATTAACCTAGAAGAATATCGCAGAGGGAAGTAAAATTAAGAACACAAAATGGTAACAGACTATATGGGTTTTAAAAATACCATGCAGCGAATAGTAATTGTATTTATCTTAGGGTGGATTCGACTAAACAAGAGTAAATCTTATTCTTAGAATAGCTCGTCAGTTAATCGAGACTAAATCAATTTTACGTTTTACCATCTACAATTCTAAGAATAGTGGGCCTATTCGGGAATTGTTACTATACCGCCGTTTCGCACGGAATAACGGAGCTATTCCTAGAATAAAGTAATGGCGTCGGTCAGTCCAATCATCTGATTTCTGTCATTTCATAAATATTTATTCTGTTTTAATTTCATGTCAACGCATCAACGCAATGCACTAAATTATTATTATTAGTCTGGCATTGTATAATGCACGGAATAGATACGTTTACACGAAAAAAGATAAAACCACACGACAAAACTTGAAAATTCTCTCAAACAAACAACAAATAAAATGAATAGGTACCTTTGACAGCTAGATATCTTAATAATGTATCGCACTGTTTATTTGTTTTTTGGTGTACAATAAAGAATACTCTCTCTCTCTCTCTCTATCTTACACTACAGCTACTTTTTCACACTAAAATACGGCAAAGTCGAGTTGAATCTATGTTACACTATGCCGTTGTCAACAACATTTATTTGCCGGATTTTATTTTCGTTCACCATTCACTCTGCTATTCGCGTATTGTTATTCCCAGCGTAAGTATACTATTTGTTTACGTGGAAAAGCGCCTATGGATTTACTCGAGATTAAAATCATGGAATAGGTTATTCTTCGTACCTATAGTTACTCGTGTATAAATTTAAGTTTGGTCGAATCCACCCTTAAAGAGAGAAACACAACGAAGCTAAACACAACAGCCAATACACTGGCCATACAAACAGCTGATTTATTGGAACAACAATAAAAACCTTTATCGCTTATCAACCTAGTAGTAACTAAGCCCCGTCCACGAAGGATTTGCTCCTCAAAATGGAAAGACTAAAAACAAAACAAATTATCGTTTGATCTCGATGGTGATGACGCCGTAGTCACTAGTGCTTGACACGGCGGTGAAGAAGGATTCAGTGGTGAGATAGTTAAAGAAGCAAAATTCCGAACCTACATAGGTCTCACCAGGGCATCGCGTCCCTGTACGCCCGCGTTGCTTTCAGTCTTATCCAGCCAGCAAATAAGAAACGTATTTTTTGCAAAAAACATCATTCATACGTAGCCGCTTAAAATTTTGATCCTCTAAACGTAATGAGAGTGATTGATGCAAGCTTTATCCAATTACTTGAAAATGTTAAACGAATCTTGACAAGTTTTTTTTGTATAATCCTGATAGCCTTGAGAGGCTATTTCAGCGTAACCTTAATTAGTAGGTGAGCTCACGGGGCTCAAACCAGATGATGCTAACGCTAACCCTAGCAAGAGCAGTGCTTCGAAGATTCTACCATCGGATCGGAAACGCGACCCACTGAGAAGATTCGGGGAGCAACTCAGCGGGCTACATGTTCTGTTTAGATTTATTAATAGGAGTTAGCATCTGTTGAACCTCGTAGTCGGGTAAAATTAATGATTCACGGTGGTCAGTTAAGTGACTAAAGTGTATTCGGATTATAACTGACTACAATTAAAACGCAACGTGCTATCGACAGCCCGACAATTCGAGACTGACTATCGCTGCAATACTGCAATATCTATATATATAAAAATGAATTGCTGTTCGTTAGTCTCGCTAAAACTCGAGAACGGCTGCACCGATTTGGCTAATTTTGGTCTTGAATTATTTGTGGAAGTCCAGAGAAGGATTAAAGGGTAGATAAATAGATGAAAATGATTGGAATTTAAAAAAAAAATACAATTTTGTTTTTCCTTTGATGTGTCCCCCGTCGGACGGATACCTTTTGTTTGTTTTAAGTTTATTTTATACAAAAGTTTAGGTCTTTTATTTATCGATTGAGGTGCTACGAAGTCTGCTGGGTAAGCTAGTCGCTTATACAATATACATTGGTAGGTAATATAGATACATATTATGTAGTCCATACAAATTTCAATCACGTCAAATATAGAGAAATAATTCTGGATAAAGCTTGCTAGCACGTGACGACAGCAAAAAAACAAAGAAACCGAACAAAAAAGTGAAAAAGCTCAAAAGCACATTTCGCCAATTGGTTTTGTACATCTAAAAACGAAATAGTATTGTTAAATGTTCTTATTATAATTAAATCTGTTGAGAATTTGGAAAAAAATGGTCAGTATGCGTTGTTTGACAATTTTAGTTTAGTAGGTACGACTAAGGTCTTTGATACTGAAGTTACGGGTTCAAAACGCGTAGCTCTTGTAGGAAAGCATTTCATCAACTCATTGCATCAAGATGACGTTTACGAAGACGTGACGTAATTCGCTCTGATTGGTGCTTAAGCTGTCATGGCTGACCGTTGTATTTTGTAGATTTATTGTAACAAATAAATGATAAATCTCGTCATTAATATGAAAATAAATCCTTGAATCCTGTTGAATTAGATCAGTTAAATGTTTTGGCGATACTTGACTACTGTCATCGTGCCTATGTGCTACTGAATTGGTGAAATCCAGTTCCCGATAACACGGAAATGTTACGTTGCGATAAAACACTTCGGTTACCTAGCCGGTGGGCCGCAATCGCTTATCGGTTTCCCGTTCAGATCCGGCTCCAGATCCGAAATGTCTTCGCGGACAATGTCGCTGCCGCTCTGATACTCTGACGTCGGTCGCGGTCGTGACAGATTCGCTGCAGTAAAAAATAGAAAAACATGTGTGCAATTATTTTTTATTTTTTATTTTTTATTACTAGATGGGTGGACGAGCTCACAGCCCATCTGGTGTTAAGTGGTTACTGGAGCCCATAGACATCTACGACGTAAATGCGCCACACACCTTGAGATATAAGTTCTAAGGTCACAAATATAGTTACAACGGCTGCCCCACCCTTCAAGCCGAAACGCATTACTGCTTCACGGCAGAAATAGGCAGGGCGGTGGTACCTACCCGCGCGGACTCACAATAGGTCCTACCACCAGCAATTCACCCGTGGTATAAGTGAAACCTTCAAAAATTAAAATAAAATTATCCTAAATGTGTAAGTTTAGGTAAAATTTTGTCATTAGTAAATAATTGTAAATCATCTTTTATAGTATGAGGTAGCGCCCTCTGTGAATTGATATTTTAACTTCACGTATAATCCTAAATTAAATTTCACTACAAGAGGTTTCATGCACACGTTAGTATTAAAAAATCTCATAGATGGCGCTGTTTTAAAAAAAACACTACACAGAGAACGTCTAATGTGTTCTATCTCGTTCTCTCGCCGGCTGAATCTTATACATTTATGTGTTTGTGTCTCTATGGACTTATTTTTTCGTTTCATTGAGTTTGAAATCATAACGATTCTAAAGAAGTTTTACTTCAAAAAAGACTATTAAAAGTTCGGAACCATCTGGCTCTGGTATGAGCTCCCCTTCTCAATGTTTTCCGAATGTTATGAAAGGTAACTCCGGGGTTGCAAAGGGTACTTAGCAGAAGGTAGCGGCTTGGCGGTGCCAATGCTGATAGCCGTGAGCCACGGTAACCATCCATAATGAGGTGGGTCATATACTAATCTGCCTACAGAGGCCATAAATAAGGCAATTTTTCTTTGTCGGTCGGTTCAGGTCACGTTTTGGTGTCAAGTAGAACTTTGGATAATCTTTTTTTTTTATTGCTTAGATGGGTGGACAAGCTCACAGCTCACCTAAACGTTAATGCGCCACCCACTTTGTGATATAAGTTCTAAGGTCTCAGTATTGTTACAACGGTTGCCCTACCCTTCAAACCGAAACGCGTTACTGCTTCACGGCAGAAATAGGCAGGGCGGTGGTACCTACCCTACCGTGAGCTACAGTGGTGGTAGTGGTACCTACCCTACAGGGAACTAATTACATTAGTTCTTTCTTTTCATTTCCACTATACTTCCTATTACCGATATTATGAATGGGGACATTTAACTTTACATCTCGAGGTAAAAAGAAATAAAACGCTAGTTTTCCTTAAATCAAATTAGAATACCAGATGTCGTTTACCTAAAGGTCGGCAGAAATCGTGAACCGTGGGTTGCAGTCTTCCTAAGTGGCAGTTCAAGGTGGCTGATGGAGATCTGCCTGGTTCACAAGCTATGCTGACTGATGACGCGTGAGCCACGGTGAGTCCTGCTCGGTATCCTGCTTCGTAAGTAGCGCCGTGGAGAAGTGGAAGTTCACAGGGTGCTGAAGAATTAATGTGTGTGAATGTGAATTTAACAACCGAACCTGTTGAATTTCTATTGAAAGCTAGATTTGGAGGGGCCATTCTATGCGACATAAGAGTTTTATAACCAAAAGTAAAATAATAGGGGCTGAAGATGATGGTGTACCTGCAACACACTCTGGCATGCTGGTCACTGCCCATTCTCCGAGCCAGCAACGAAGGTTGGTGGGTCCTTGGACGTTGTACCTGAAGAACACCAGGAAACACAATAAGCAAACGGTAAAGTAGGAAAAAGATGTGTCTTCTATCTATCAGCCCAGATACGTCCACTGCTGGACACAGAGGAGGCCTCGCTACAACGATCGTGCATTATCTGTATCCAGCGAATTCTTGCGAACCTGAATAGGTCGTCGGTCTACCCTGTGGGAGGTCTACCCTGTGGGAGGTCTACCCTCGCTACGCCTCCCGGTACGCAGCCGGAACTTTTTGGCCCAACGGCCATCTGTTCTACGAACAAAAATGATGTGTAATTGGCTTTTTTTTTAACCCATAACTGCTTCGCGGCGGATACTTGTCCAGTTTTGAATCAAGATCGTTCCCAATTAAGCCATGTATGAACTTGTTTTCTTTTTTGGAAAAGCTATTTCAAGCTATTTCAGCGTAACCTTATCTATTGGGTGAGCTCACGGGGCTCAAACCGGAGTGATGCTAACAATAACCCTAGCAGTGCTTCGCAGAATCTACCACCAGATCGGAAACGCGACCCACTGAGAAGATCCGGCGAGAAACTCGGTGGGCTGTGTCTATGGGCTAGTTCGCTCGTCGAGCCCTTCGTCGCAAGCGACAGGTTCGACGAGGACGGTGACCGGTGCTTGTGGTGCCTAAAAGCACCGATAATGGATTGGGAGAATCCGTAATGAATCCGTAATGACGTGTTTTGAGCGACGTCGACTGTTTACCATTCGATCTACAGGATCGGGTATGAACTTGTAGCGTGCAACAATGCCTGTGAACGTTTGAAACATTCTTAGTGTTTGTATAGCCGTGTGTTTGAGTTAGTTCTTAGTGTAACCTGCCCGCTAATGTGGCATCAAATAACAAACCACAAACATACCCATATTCACAAGAGAAATGCACGACTTGTCCATTAGGCACTGGATCTGTCTCATTGAGTTCCTTCTCTTCCTGTCCTAAGCCAAGGGGAGATATCTGCCCCGATTCTGACATCGTGTAGATTCCGTACTCCGTTGTTGGAACGTGGCAAGGTACTGAAAGTTAGAGTGGACGCGAGTGTTTGAGACCACGACCAAATAAATCCAGAGACCACAAAGAAAGCCTACTGTTTCGCAACAGCCACTGCCATCATCGCATCACAACTCAGAACTGCTTCAGAAATAAGTGCTTTTATGACAGGTTATTTAAGAAACCATTCATCCACCGTGCGTTTCCAGAGGTCTTTTCTGCCGCGTACCATGCGGTTTTGAAATTAACTCAGCTCCTGAGTGTTTTCTGAACACTTCGACATGTCTTTCTTCAAACGAAGTTTTCTGAGAATGATGTACCCTTGGCTGACGTCCATGATGAAAGGTAGCCACTGGCTATCAGTTGGGCCTTACTGTATGCTTTTCTTCTTAAAAGGCAAGAACTTAATGAAGAAAAGTATCAAAGAACTTACGTATTTCGCATTTGGGCTTCTCTGGTTTCCATCGTCCCCTCACACATTTTACAGTAGCATTTGCATCTAGATTGAATCCGTAGCCTTTCCCGCAAGCCACTCTGATTATTGTACCTGAAATATGTTTAGCATTCAAACAAATATATATTAAGCAAATATTTAAAAAAGATTGGTTCTTAAACTCGGATTGTTGGATTACTCTGGGACGAATAGGCGGAACTTTAGTTGCGAAACGCGTGAGTGTGTAAAATAAAAATTAGACGGTTAAGGATTAAGGAATCAGGAAGGAAAATCATAGAGGATATTACTACTGTGCAGATGGTACGACGGTAGCAGTAGCTCGGAGCTGTTAGGGTTCCGTAGACAGCCTTTTGAGCCCAGCCGACTATTATTACGTAGGTTCTCTGACCAAAGGTTCACTGGTGGCTGTGAGGTATCAACAAGTAGAATAGCATCCCGATCTTTTAACGGTGCTTTTAGGTACCACCAGCACCGGTCGCCATCCTCGTCAAACCCGTCGCTTGCGACGAAGGGCTCGACGAGTGAATTAACCCATAGACACAGCCCACTGAGTTTCTCGCCGGATCTTCTCAGTGGGTCGCGTTTCCAATCCGGTGGTAGATTTTGCGAAGCACTATTCTTGCTAGGGCCAGTGTTAGCAACACTCCTGGTTTGAGCCTCATGAGCTCACCTGCACGTCAAGGAGAAGCTGAAATAGCCTCCCAAGGCTATCAGCGTAGGGAAAAACAAAAATATATGAGACTAAGAAAGTAATTGGATGCTGTGGAATCGTATTTGTGGGTGTCACCACCATGCTTTAAATCGTGGGTTTTGGTTTGAAGAGTGGGACAGCTGTTATGCAACACAGCAGGACTTCAACCTTATGACTCAATGTGGCTATTCACGACGTATTCCTGCTTATGGGCTCCAGTATCCAATTCACACAAGTTAGGTCATGAATTGTCTTGCCTATTTAAGTAATGAAAAAGATAACCGGCAATAGGAGCCAAATTTAATACAATTAATATCAAATTCACCATTCCACCTACTTACCAGTACTGAATGTGTTGTTGGGATCCCTCCCATACTTCACAACCTCTATATTTATGTAGGGCTCGCTTGCTATCGGCTCACAGGGGCTCTTAGGCCTGCCCTTCTTCCTGGTCGCGTTATTCTTGCCCAAGGTCTCAGCAGTCTCCTTTATATCGGAACTTTGCCCTTCTTCACTTGACGCTGATTGCAGATTCCTGCCACTCTTCCCTTCCTTTCCACTGGAGAAGCGATAACAAAGTACTGAGTTCTACACAAATGTCAGTCAAACAGTGACTCATCTTCCTTTCCACTAGAGAAGCGATAAGAGGTACTGAGTTCTACACAAATGTCAACAGTGACTCATAGCAATTGAAGAGCGGCTGACAATGGTCACACGAACATTTCCATTGGAAATGACTGATATTGTCAGGTTGTTGACTGATATTGTATATACGAGTATATGCGATGTGATACCTTTTTTTTCGGTCTGGGGCCGAACCTCCTACGAGGTCCCCGCGCCTAGGGATACTTAACACAATCATATGACGATGTAAAAAGTAAATGGCATTTAGCATTTTGTGACATGATCATTGAGAGGTTTTGGTGCTTAGCGGATTTAAAATTCATCAATATTTTATAATATTTGGCGAATATAGTTAAAGAGTATGTGTTACCAAAATATTTGATTCATCTACATTAATGATTGGACAATTAAAAATACTTTTAGATATTTTTGAAGGTTCGAATGCTTTGTCGTCATCAGTGGTTCTGGCGTTGGGGGTAAACCGTAGAGTAGTAGTAATCTAAATTATATTTACGACTCGTGAACAGCGAAGACAATGCTGCCTTGCGATTTTGCCTTGCGAATCTGTAAGCGTTGTTTGACAAACTCGCACGTGTATTCGGCGTGAGTTTTCAAATTGTGCCGAATCTATAGAGGGTAATTTTGACTAGTGTTTATAGAATGCCAAATCAAGGTAATTCCATTGCGTCCGAAATGATGGAGAATATTGTAGTGATGTGTTCTTGTTTGAATTTAAGAGAATCGCAAGGTTGATCGAATACTCACGTTTTGGGTACAGTCGCCGTGGTCTGGTTCAACCTGTCAGTTTTCCTGCTAGTCCTTTTATCTCTTTTCTCCAAAACATTACCGAAACCAGTCGAATTCGTCTCGTTATGTTGCAAAGGATCGACCGACATTTCGCGACTCCAACGCGTTTCATAAGTGCTCAAAGGGATCACTTTGAGTAAATCGTTTTGAAGGTCATTCGCTACACCCGAATAAACAGTTGATTTTGGATAATAATCAGTTTCGTGTTCCTCAACGTTGACATTTCGTTTCCGTCTAGTCGCTTCGATGATTTTAGTGACAGTCTCAACAGTGCTCTCTGCCGGTTCCATTTCATCATCAAACTCCTTTTTCTCTGCTCCGTGTTTGTTTAAAAATCTCTTCCTTCTCTTATCTAAATACCTTTCGAAGTAATCATGTTTCAGACGGTCAATGCTGTTTTCAGACGAATCGCGAGCAGGAAACATGCCTCCCCTAACTATTGTCGCGTGAGACAGTTCATCGTCCTCATCGCTATCCTGGTATTCGACTACGTCGTTGTGTTCAAGGACGTCTCCATCTTCAGGCTCATAGACAGGCTGGTAGGCGTACAGCCTGTGACCAATTGGCTCTCCGTGTACATTGTATACAGTGTAGACTGCGGTCGGGAAGTTTTCCTCGTCAATTCCAGCGCCGATGCTCGGATCTCCGAAGTCAGCATCGGATTTCTTCATGATCTTGAAATTCGCGTGCCTCAACGTCGGCTTCTGGTTGCCGTGGTTGTATTTGTTGTAGAGTTGGTCCAGATTTTGTTGCGTTGGCTCCGTCCGATGCAGACGGTCGTAATACTGGCGGAGGTACGCTGACCGACGGTGACGTATCTCTGGTTCGACGATGGAGCGACGGCGTCGGCTCCAGCGGATGCGCGGATGTTGGTAAAGGGTGCATCTGTCATAAAAGAGCAACTTCACTTTTGTGCTTAATGACGTAGACGGTTAAATAAGTTCACGGGTGATTACCGTAGTCCATAGACACTGACGACCTAAATGCTGCTAATGCGAGTTTGTCACTGACGGCCTAATACTGGTGGTAGGACCTCTTGTGAGATCGCGCCACCCTGGCTATTTCTGGCGTGAAGCAGTAATGCGTTTCGGTTTGAAGGGCGGGGCAGCGGTTGTAACTATACTGAGACCTTAGAACTTATATCTCAAGATGGGTGGCGCATTTACGTTGTAGATGTCTATCGGCTCCAGTAACCACTTAACATCAGGTGGGCTGTGAGCTCGTCCACCCATATAAGCAACAAAAAAATATATATACATATTCATTAAAACTTACTTGGGCAGCTCCCTAGGGCTCCAATGCCCGCCCACACATGTAGCGCCGGGCGGGCCTTCTGACAGTACGTAGCCTTTCTCACATTCATACATAATCTGCTTATTATTTACCACCTGTAAAGAAATTACCATAGATTATAAATAACCTACCTTTTTTATTACCCTTGTAGGCTGACGAGCATACGGCCCATTTGATGCTGACTGGTTACCATCGCCCATGGACGTCAGCAATGCTAGGAGCACAGCCAACCTGCTGTCCCTCGTCGAATATTATCGTAACATTTTAAGTAAATACCTAATGTGTTGTTAATAGTACACCGTAACATACCTGCTATATCTTTATCTGTCCAGAATTTCGGGTAATTAAACGGTTGTCTGGAAGAGATCGCTTTTAGCGATAATACCGCCTATTGTACAAACGTATCTGCTTGGTGACTGTTTTCTGATGTTAATTGTGTTTTGGTGTGCAATAAAGTATGTTCTCTCTCTCTCTCTCTTTCTTTCTTTCTCTCTCTCTCTCTCTCTCGCTCTCTCTCTCTCTCTCTCTATGATCAAGTCAATAAACGAAGCTGCATCAATAGATTCTTTTTCTTCATCGTTCCATAACTGCTGAGGATCGCGGCCACATGTGACTTTACTTCACCGTGCTCGATCATGGGTGGCATGGACCTCATGGTATAGACCACCATCAAGCAATAGATTAAATGAGATGATTTTACCTTTCGAATGTTTTACGAATTTTGAAATCGATGTGTGGAGTAACAAGAATGGACAAGATAATGAATGAGTATATCAGAGAAAGTGTGAAAGCAGCCCCGGTAATCAACAAATTAAAGAGCGGACGGTTAGCGTGGTATGGACATGTGATGTGTAGAGAGAAGATGAATGTGACTAGGAGATGTATGGAAATGGTAATGCAAGGTAGAGGAGGAATCGATCGAAGAAGACATGGATGAAGTGTGTGAATGACGATACGAGAGAGAGAGAGGAGTGAGTGTTGAGATGACGGCTGATAGAAGAGAATGGAAGAGAAAAGTTACCTTTGCCGACCTCACCTAGTGGGATAAGGTGGAGAAAAATAAGAAGAGATGATTTTACCTTTCTCACGTAAGGTCTATAATCGTACAGCCCCATGTTCCCCACCAGCAGAACCTTCCCGTTTTCGATGTATCCAGGGAAAGGGCAGAACACTGAAAAGGCCTTCAAACTTGAGTTTCATATAAATTAGTTACGCTCACGGGCAAACACGGCTGTTCCGGTTTCTCTAGATTGTCTAGACTCTAGATTTGAAACTGCTCATGGGCTCATACCCTCCGAATCTTTAAGTGAGACGTGAGCCTGCCTATCTACAGTCTGGTAAGGTGGCAATAAAAAATAAAACCTACAGTTAACGTTTTAAAGACCATTTTATACGTAACGACTTTCTAAGTAAGATCTCAGCTTAATTTTTTTTCCTACCTAAGCTGATAGCCTTAATAGGCTATTTCAGCGTAACCTTAGCTAGTAGGTGAGCTCACGGGGCTCAAACCGGAATGATGCTAACATTGACCCTAGCAAGAGCAGTGCTTCGCAGAATCCATCGGACCGGAATCCACCATCGGATCGGAAACGCGACCCACTAAGAAGATCCGGCGAGAAACTTAGTGGGCTGTGTCTGTGGGTTAATTCGCTCGTCGAGCCCTTCGTCGCAAGCGACGGGTTCGACGAAGACGGTGACCGGTGCTTGTGGTACCTAAAAGCACCGTTAATAGATCGGGAGGATCCGTAATGACGGGTTTTGGGTGACGTCGACTGTTTACTATTCGGTCTACAGGATCGGGTATGTAGTTTCCAGCGGCCACGACAAGAGGATTCTCATATCGTGCCGCCTTTTCAAAGTGGCTTAATCATTAATTTTATGACGTAACTTCAATTTTATGTTCGTTTTGTGTTTTATTTATTATAGGCCTGTAGACATCTTGGCCTGGGTCGCTATTACCCAAGACGTCTAATTTTCTATTCTACATCTAAGAAGCTACACATACACACAAAGCATGTCGTGCAGAGTTTAAAAGTCGTTTTGTATTTGCAATTCGATTGATCGCGTGACACATTACCTTCTTCACATTTCGGCGTTTCTCCGCTCCAGTTCCCGAAGGAGCAGACGACAATCGGGTTCCCCTTCATTTCGTAGCCGTCCTTGCACCGAAACCTGGCCTTCATGCCGTGATCCGTTTTAGGAGCTATCACCATACCGTTGCGAGGGTATTTGGGCATTTTCTTGCATCTGAGAAAAGTATTTAGAGCGATAATTCGCAGAGTCAGCATTCTGGAACTTGGAGACGATAAAATTATCGTACAACCTATCTTCAGTTATCGTAACCACTATTATATAGTACTAGCCGTACTCGTCCGCTTCGCTGGGCATTTAAAATTAAGATTATTATTTATTGTCATTAGGGAGTCCAACACTCATATAAATATTAGCCTATCCATTAAGTACATGTATTTTCTACATGGATACCAAGTTTCAAGTCAATCGGATGCATGGTTCAGTAGTTATAATGGCACATCCGTAAAAATGACTGTAGATTTATATATTATTAGTATAGATAATCTGTTTCTGTATCTGATCTGTAATCTGTTCGACTTTTTGGCGGGAACGCGAGGAGTGAAGTTCTGTGATTTGTTGTATTTTGTCTATTTAGTGTTTCTTCAGGTTTATATGTGTAATAACGGTGGTTTATCAACTGCTTAATATCTGTGAAAGTGCACAAATGTGGGGAAATGAAACAAATGAACTTCTCGGGATCCTCGAAAAAGTCCACTGAAAAAATCTCAGTAAATTATGTACCACCATTTTACTGAGATTATATTTCATCCCATATCATCTCATCTCATTTCATTTTATTTCGTTTCATTTCATTTCACTTCACTCCATATTATGATTTTTCATAAAAATATGAATATAAATTAAAATAAGATATGACCTAAAGAACATAGTTAGATTTTTTTATTGCTTAGATGGATGGACGAGCTCACAGCCCACCTGATGTTAAGTGATTACTGGAGCCCATAGACATCTACAACGTAAATGCGCCACCCACCTTGAGATATAAGTTCTTAGGTCTCAGTATAGTTACAACGGCTGCCCCACCCTTCAAACCGAAACGCATTACTGCTTCACGGCAGAAATAGGCGGGGTGGTGGTTTTTGTCTAGTTAGTGTTTCTTCAGGATTAAATGTGTAATAAGGGTGGGTGGTTTATTAACTGTTTAATATCTGTGAAAGTGCACAAATGTGGAAAAATGAATCCTCGAAAAAGTCCACTGAAAAAATCTCAGTAAATTATGTACCACCATTTTATTGAGATTATATTTCATCCCATATCATCTCATCTCATTTCATTTTATTTCGTTTCATTTCATTTCACTCCATATTATCGTTTTTCATATAAATATGAATATAAATTAAAAAACTAAAATAAGACATGACCTAAAGGTCTTAGTTACCAGGTCATAAAATCCCTTTAAAATTTATTGTAATTGGTTCTGCGACAGAAATGAAGAGGATACCTAGTAAATACGCAAACTCATCGATGTTGTAGGTTTGGTTTTCACTACACGATACTATTCCCCCATCCTATATTCCTCTACCGCATAAGTCGGTCGTGAGCACGCATCAAGTACGCATTTACTTAACAAAATAAATAATAGTTTAAAAAAACTAACAAAATACGCTAGTATAGAAAATCCAACTACTAACAAAATAGGCTTGTATAGAAAATCCAACTAAAAAATAGAAAATAAATTTGAATTAAAAATAGTGTAAGAAAAAATGATTTTATTGTAAAAAGAGTGGGGTGCATGGTATCACTAGCTATAAATATTTTACGAACAGATATGAGTAGAAGAGTTATTTTGATAATATCCTGAAAAGCACCCCGCACTTTTTTATTATTTATTTTTCACTTTTATTTCAATTTTTGCATATTTTTTTTTAAATATTGAATAGCCATCGGTCCTTAATAAGTATACTAAACTTCGAGTTAATCCGACGTTTTGAAAGGGGTCAAAATCATGTTCAAAGATTCCGTTACATACTAACATACATACGTCTGAAGCTAATAAACGCGTGTTAATTAGGCACACTTTATTAGGACGGAGGGCAATGTCTTTTAACAATCCATTGCTGGGTCTAGTTTAAGCAATTCGAATTACCTGGCGGGCTGACATCTAGGTATCTGCGTCCAAGTTCCGTTGTTGCACGTCACGGCCGCATTGTTCGAAGGGAACTCATAGTTTTTCTCGCAATCAACCATAATTATCTCACCTGTTAAATAGTTACCAAAATTTTGTGCATTTAATAAGTTATCTCAAGGCTTTAATACAATAAATGTTGTTAAAGTTTGCATATACATTGCATTGCCTGGCTTGCCTTGGCATTGCTGAAGTCCATGGGCGACGGTAACCACTCAGCATCAGGTGGGCCGTGTGCTCGTCTGCCTACAAGGGCAATAAAAAAAACATACTTTTAGTTGGACTGGCGCCATCTTCCGATCGCGCCATTGTTACTAACAGATTATCGTTTTGCTCATTGTTACTAACAGATTATCGTTTTGCTCAAAGCTACATTAGGTGGTAGTAAAAACTTAAACAATCTTTCAAAAGTAAACGTGAGGAACTATTAAATATTGGCTGACAAGGTAAGAGTTTAATTTTCTAGTAACTGTATTCGTTCGATCATCGACTCAGTGGGGGTGATTCCAATTCGGTGGTAGATTTAGCATAAGATTGCTCTTGATAGGGCAGATATTAGCAAATTCTTCTGATCAGGCTGCTTGAGCTCCTACATCAGTAATGGTGAAGCCAAAATAGCTACGATGTTAATGGCAGATAAATAAATAAAAAATAGACCTAAAAGATATTCCACATACTGTTACCACTATTCTACCCCAATGGTTCTTCAGTTCAACAAAGACTTTTTTTCCTGCTTAAGCTCATGTCCTTGAGAGACTATACCAGTGTAACCTAACAAGTAGATAAGCTCACGGGGCTCAAACCTGATGAAGTTGCTAACACTAACCCTAGCAACAGCAGTGCTTCGCAGAGCCTACACCGGATCGCGACCCACTGAGAAGATCTAGCGAGAAACTCAGGGGGCTGTGCCTATGGGTTAGTGCTTGAGGTACCGAAAAGTACCGTTAGTGGATCGGGAGGATCCGAAATGACGTGCAACTAAGGCAATAATCAAAACTTAGTATCAATAGCAAAAGCAATGGTAATTTTTAAATTGTTTGGAAAGTACCTAAACATGAAACTTAGATGGCGCTGTAAAACAAACATGATAGCAGCCCGTAGGGTTGCGATTACCAGATATAACATCATGTCCATGTTTTTTGTTCAAATGCAAAAATAACACTAAAGATAGTCAATCAATATCGTCTTTAATGATTTTATGATTTTACAAATCACAATCATTTGCAGATGACTAGGATGGGAAGGGATTCCTTTCGTAAGAGGACTGCCCTAGTACGCACTGATTCAACTGACTCCATCCGCATTGACATTCACGTTTTATAAGCTTGACAACTAACATACGTTCGATCCATATACTATACTAGCTTTCGCCCGCGACTCCGTCCGCGTGGAATAGTTAGTTTGGGATAACGCAAAATTTTACCCACCCACTTCATTTACGTAGAAAGAGAAGATATTTTTGAATTATATAATGTTAAGGAGCTATTTAAACCCCTATTTTGAAACATTCTTTATTGGTGCTCCACTTGTATTGGTCTTACCGTGATGTTATATAGCCTATAGCCTTCCTCAATAAATGGGCTATCTGACACTGAAAGAATTTTTCAAATCAGACCATTAGTTCCTGAGATTAGCGCGTTCAAACAAACAAACTCTTCAGCTTTATAATATTAGTACCGATAGATTGCTATGTAGGTTACGCGTTGCGACAAATAAGTTTAAATTTATTATAGTAGATGGTATTACCGTGCTGCACCATGGATGAGCTCCCCACGATCTGAGTGTTCGGCTGCTCAGTCGTATTATCGTTCGTTGTCTCGTTATTAACGAGGACTATACGGCCCTGAGAGACGTGTGGAACGACGCACGGCGCTGAAATAGATGACATATTACTCCCTCTTAAATCAGCAACTAGATGTGTGTCAAACCATCATCATCATCAGCCTTTATCTGCCCACTGCTGGACATAGGCCTTCCCCAATGCCTTCCACAGAATGCGGTCTCCGCCTTCCGCATCCAACGACTTCCCGCTGTGCGCACTAAGTCGTCGATCCACCTGGTTGGAAGACGCCCCACGCCCCTGAAAGCCATCCATGGCCTCCATTCGAGGACTTTCCTCCCCCATCTGGCGTCGTTGGCTCGACAGATGTGACCACTGATGAATAATAGAACTTCCTTTGAAGTAGAGTACTACATCCATTATATATTTCTTTACGTCCAATTGCGCGATGACCTATAAGCTACTACTGGAGTGCATCTTGCAAAGTTAGAAGTCATCTGCATGTTACATATATAGAAGCGGTATCATGTGAACAAATTATTCCTACATTATTACAGTTTTTCCGACGGTTAATCAAACAAACTATAGATCTCTTTGGAATGCTATGAAGTACATTATATTTCATAATGCTGTGGAGGTATTTACGTGTACCAGTGGTCCCGCAGTAGTCGAAATTCGACTATAATTAATTGAAATTATAAGCTTGAACATTAATATGGTTCTATTATCAAAGACTATTTATTATAGTTCTTTATTCACAGATTTCGTCAAGATTACACTTTAGACAAATATTAACAAGAACAAACAATATTGAATCTATTCTCAATTTGACCATAGACTTTATGCATTAAGAAAAGTTTGACATTAAAGTATAGTATGCGTGTGTGTGTGTGTCAAATACATGGTAGTGTGTGTAATGTTTTCGTAATTGATTTAATGTATTGTTGTAATGTGTTGTTTTAAAAAAATATTTAAAAAAAATATTAGCATTGTGCACTCCTTCTCTATATTCTCTATAAGTGTGGGAAATTTCATACTCCTCCGTCCGCACAATTTTCGTAAAAAGGGGTACAAAGTTTCATGTCACCAAAATAATTAACTAAAACCGTTCGTTCCTAAGTTAACATAAGCTAATGACGTGACGTAAGTACCCAAACATTGAGGTAGGGGATGGCTCCAAGTGCCGTCGCTCTGACATATTGCAGACCCATTCCCTTCCATCTTCATCCCGTCTTGACAGCGAAAGATGATGGAGGCTCCCAGACCTGTTCCTGAGGAGATATTCTCCAGCCATCCATTCCAGAGCTGACCAGGGTGGCCGCAGTTAATTTCTGATGAAAAAGTAATATTTACGATACAATACGTTAACGACATAATAAAAAAATATTAATAGTTTGAAGATTTTTACAATGATCATAGTCATAATCATTGGTGAAATGTGTCATGTGTGGATTTTATTTCAATATTAACACAATTGACAAAAAGTTGAACTTCCGAGCTCCGTTGCCGAAACTATAAAAATAAAAAAACATAGTGAATGGGAAGCTATTCCTATCTTAATTAACAAAAATATCTTAGCGAGAGTTTTTTAGTTCTTCAACCAAATCAGAGAGAGACCAAATCAATTCCATAATTTACAATTCGCATACCTTTGCAAAGCGGCTGGGTTCCAGACCATTTCTTGTCAGCCCCGCAGCGTCTTGTGGCGTCCCCAACGAGCCGGTACCCATACTTGCACTCGTATGAAACCACAGAGTTGTACGCAAAGGACGTGTACACCGCCTTGCCGTGGCGAGGCGCTTCTGGCGTCGGACACTGCACCTGGGTGACCACTAGATGGCGACACATGTCGCTTTAACCTAACTCCATTCATCAAAAACAGATGGCGCTATTCTCATTTTATTATAAAGCAAAACATCGACTTTAAGTTCTGTCCTGCTCACGCCTAATTCATATATAATGTGCATGAAAAGAACAGAGTAAAATATTAATTTCGCGAATTATATACAAATTTATTTACTCCACATATAAAACATAAATATAATAATAATAATAATTATTATTATTGAATCATGCAGACACGTCATGCAAAAATAAAACAACTCATTTTTTCTCAACTTTTATTTCTCTACAGATATCATTTGAAATATAGAAATTCACATTAATTTATTGCACCAATACCAAACTTTAAGCTTCTACATTTAATCTAAATACACAACTATAGATTAGGCAGTAAAGTCACATTTTATCATGGCTATAAATATCGGTATTAAAACTCGATGAAGACACAGTACAGAATTTTAACAGTTAAACAGTTCTAAGTAAACAACTCGGTCGCACTACTTGTCGTGATTATCGGTTTAAACTCTCCCCTTTTCTCCTTCTAAAGCAGCGGAAAAGAGAGAAAAAAAAAGATAATTTTAACAAAACCTTTTTTTCAAATAACAACTATTTTTTTTATTGGAAATCCCACTTTCGCAAGCTATGCAAAGAAATCATAATATTTTAATTACTTAAACTGCTTGAATTTTCCTAATTCAAATCAATTTGTTAATATGCTCAACGATGACAGTTTCTCCAAACAGTAGTCATATTACTGCGAAAAAAACTTATATAAATCGTACTTCGATAAATTACTCAGTCGAAATAAAGTTATCAAATCGAAACTAAAATTAGCACGCCAAAAGCAACGAAACACATCAATATTTAAAAAAACGAAATTCAAATTACATTAACTGAAATCGTAATATAAGTGGGAGGTCCATTGTTAAATAATTGCTTCATGACAATGATATTGCTTTCAGCCATGATAATATTTCATAAATAAAATAATAAAAACGTTAAAAAAAAACCGAAAGCGGACATGCTTGCTAATCGTAAATTTAAAAGAGACCATTATAGTACATGCAACATTCATATAAAAAACAGATAAATCAGCAACTACATTGTCACGAGGCAATGTCTAAACGCCGTTCGAGTTCTGATTGTAATTATACTGTGGCGTCGGTTGTGACGCCCTGTACTTAGGGTTCCTTCTATGCATCATCAAACGTTTTTTTCGACACTGCCATAACTCAAAAACAGAATCTGCACCACTCAGTTTAATCGAATCTAATAGTTTAGGGAAACTCTAGTTTTTCTCTGACCATCAGGAAAACTAAAGAGGAATATCTGTTATTTCTTTGTTTACGTAAACTATTGTCATTTGTGTCTTCGTGGCTCTTGAATTGCTTCCTGTAATTGCGTCAAGAGATTTGAAATGCCGATGGAATCTTCACTGATTTTTGTCATATCAAGGTTACTATAGGTCTACCAGAATCTGATGGCAAAAAAAAGTAAAAAATATAGCGATTTTCATATGGCAACAAAAAAAAAGTCATCTGTCAAAACTGAAATTTCGAGGAATTGTTTTTGGTTTGGCTTAAAAATTTCCTTTAAAAAGTGGTGAAAATGTCGAAGGAACCTCTTCGTTCGCAAGCAAGAAATATTGTTTTCAATGTTTATCAAAGAATACTCGATGAACAAGGTGCAGAACAAACACAATTATCGATATTGAGCCATGTGCAAGCGTTGACCGGTTAGTAGGAATGACACGTCTTGATACTTTGGTTTATTGCATTTTCGTGTGTATTATGTATACTAAACTTTGGTTTATTTCAGGTGTTTCTAATAATATCATATGACGAATTGTTGCTGATGGCAGATCTAACAGAGGCGTATTTAGTACGCCCGGTAAAAAGAGGAAAGGTGGCAAAAATACTGCGTCTTCCTCGTCTTCCTCTTCCGATGAAGACTTTTTTATGGATGTGCAGTATTTGGAACCGTTTTCAAGTTCTGATAGCCTATAATTAATTAATAAATTCATGAACAGAGTAATTGGAGTTTTCATCTAAATTTCGAACCCCACATTCGCCACAGTAAGATTTTCAAAAATTATCCTTGATCATTGCATAATTTTTTTTATATTTGCATGTATCACACAGAATCAGCCGCTATAAGAAAAAAAAGTATCAAAACGTTTTACTTCAATTTCCCCAATATACCTAGCGTCAATTTCTTTTTTCCCTTTTTGCCATCAGATCCTGGTATACCTATATTCTAACCAACACCGACACGTTTTAGCCGTCACATCCCAATCAATCTATAGTCTTCCACCACCAAACTACACGGCGTCACCACCAGCACCAAAATAATTATCATATTAAAGTACTTACGAACGCAAGTTGGTAGCTCCTTGGGGGCCCACGCTCCGTCGGCTTGGCAATAGCGTTCGGCTTTGCCCACTAACTCGAAACCTTGCCCGCATTGAACTACAGCGCGACAGCCGAAGGTGTGACAGTCAGCGGTGACCCAGCCGTGGGGTACGTCACCGGGTTCTCCACAAGACCGTGCTGGTGAAAACAACGTAATGCTTTACTACATATTGAGTCCAAGCGGGTAGGCACTACCCTATTTCAAGCAAAATAGTCCTATTTTTATTTTATTGTATAGATAGGGTGGACGAGCTACAGCCCACCTGGTGTTAAGTAGGCACTGGAGCCAATAGACATCTACGACGTAAATGCGCCACCCACCTTGAGATATGAGTTCTAAGGTCTCATAATTACCCACCGTTCAAACCGAAATGCATTACTGCTTCATGGCAGGAATAGGCAAGGTTGTGGTACCTACCCGTGCATACTCACAAGACCAGTAATTACGCAAATTATAATTTTGCGGGTTTGATTTTTAATACACGATCTTGCTCCTTCAGCGTGGAAGTCTAAAGGGTGTATACTAAAAAACCAATTTTTTCATAAAACAACTTTTATAGTCAAAGAGGTACTTACGTTCACAAGTGATATCCGGCCCATACCAAGAAGCCTGTCCGTCGATAGCCAAGCACTTAGCTCGTGGGAAGCCATTGGTGACGTAGCCGGTATGACAGTTGTACTGGACTGTCGCGTCTAGATCGAAGGTAGCTTGCTCGGGTAGGGCCGAGTGCCTCGCGTGTTCTATCGTCGGCGGTTGGAGACAGTAGACTGGAGATAAAAGCAACAGCTGTAGATGGTACGGAAGAATGAGCCCGCAAGGGAAGAACAGCAACCACTTGGAAGATTAACTGGATTTTAAAAGAACTAATCAACCAAAAGTGGACTATTTGACGATATTTGCATTGTGGTCTTCATATTCGGATTGGCTTCCTCATACCCAAGTATAAGATGGAAGAACGTGATATAGACCATATTAACGCATATCTCTAAAATTAAAAAAGATGTGTGGCGTCGTGGGACACCAGATAGGAACGAAGTTCCATAATATAAAAATATTAATTTTAAGTTCTATTCGAGGTATAAAAAAATTATTATTCGGGTATACATTTTTATTATGATTTTTTTATTGATAAAAATAAATAAAAAACTACTTTACAAAGTTATCAACTTTACTTTATTCACAATGATTTATCATAAAAAAAATTTTTTTTTCGACATTATTACAAAGTTAAGTCGTACACTGTGTGCATTACTAATAAAAATCTTACATTACGGACGTTTTTTCCCGGTTAGGGTATCACTCCGCATCGTCCCATAAGGAACATCGTTCTAAAAAGCTTGGCCTTGCCAAGTCCTGTCCAATGTAGTCCAGTATAATTTTAACTTACTATTTTCTTTGCAGGCTGGTGGTTGTCCAGCCCACTTTCCGTCAGCCTGGCAGCTCCGGCTCTGGAGTCCGACAACGTGATACCCGTGTGGACAGGAGTACACGGCCCTGTAGATAATTACATAGCCTGATATGTTTGGTATTCTAAATGGCACTGTGGCTATTTATAAAAAGCTGAGAAATGAAGAAGAAAAGAGAGTTCTCTCTCTTTTCTCTTTCTTCTTCAACGATGATATGGACATGTGATGAGACGAAATGAAAATGAGGTTGATAAGAGAGTGTTAACTATGAATGTGGAAGGATATAGAGGAAGAGGTAGACCTAAGAAGAAATGGATAGATTGGGTGAAAGGCGATATGCGTAAAAGGGGAGTGAGCGAAGAAAAGGCATATGATAGAGGAGTATGGGAGGAGAAAACACGTTGTGCGAGTCCCAGGTGACTGGGAGAAGGGCAGGAGAATGACTGTGGTTATTTATATTTTTTATCTTAAAGCTAAGAGACTGGGCCAATTTGCGACTCGAGGTTTCAATTGATAATACATCAACTTGCAGCAACAATATATTATGATGATGAGGTAACATCAATAAATCCTCAGCGCGTTATTTCCTAAGTGTATGTGTGTAATGTGATGTTTCCTGTGATATCCAGGCTTTCAGGAGGCGTGTGGTAAACGCTTCCTATTCTAGGTTTCGAATTGCATAGAATTTCTATAAATTATTGATAGCACGACTCTGCTTTTTGCCCGTTTGCTTAATTACCAATAAATCAAACGTGTGAATAATAGTTTTTTTTTCTTCTCTAGACGGGCTGTTTCTTAACAGGTGGTATTCTACAGTAAGAGCTAAACATTTCGGGAGATAAGTTGGAAGACTTGAAAGATACAAGATATAAGACGGCTTCGCAGTTTAAATAGGTAAGTTAGTTTTTATTTTTATTGCTTAGATGGGTGGACGAGCTCACAGCCCACCTGGTGTTAAGTAGTTACTCGAGCCCATAGACAACTACAACGTACCCACCTTGAGATATGAGTTCTACGGTCTCAGTATAGTTACAACGGCTGTCCCACCCTTCAAACCGAAACGTATTTCTGCTTCACGGCAGAAATAGGCAGGGCGGTGGTACCTACCCCTGTGGCCTCACAAGAGGTCCTACCACCAGTAAAAGTAGTACACGGATTAAGAGAGTTCATACGTACTTATCTCCAAACAGTCGACCAGTGAAGGTAACCTTTCCTATTTCAGGCTGTTCCAACTCAGGACATTCGCGATCTGAAACAAATCAGGTAACGTTATATAATCTTAATACATATGTATAAATTACGTGTCACGTTGTTTGTCCGCGATGGACACCTAAACTACTGAACCGATTTAAACTTTTTTTTTTTTTTAATATTTCTTTTGTTCCAACTTATGCCATAGGATGGTTTTTATTCCGATCAATGGTCGCAATATTTATTAATTAATAATAAAATTATTTCTTATTTTGATTATTGTTATTAATTGTAAGTTTCATAAGCTTAAAACAGATGGCGCCTTAAATCAGTTTTTACAGCCAGTTGTAATACTATCCAATACATATTAATATCTCATAGATGGCGCTGTGTTAAAAATACCAACGTTTCACATAAGCTACAATTTAATGGCAAACACCACGTGTTGCTGAGGCCAAAGTATAAGTGAAATTTATTTCGTAGTAAAGGCAATATAGTGGAATCCAATTGTTCTTACTTTGTTAATTTTTGGTATTGGAAACAAAAACCTTAGCCACAGCAACCGGTCACCGTCCTCGTCGAACCCGTCGCTTGCGACGAAGGGCTCGACGAGCGAATTAACCCATAGACACAGCCCGCTGAGTTTCTCGCCGGATCTTCTCAGTGGGTCGCGTTTCCGATCCGGTAGTAGATTCTGCGAAGCGCTGCTCTTGCTAGGGTCAGTGTTAGCAACACTCCGGTTTGAGCTCCGTGAGCTCACCCACACACGTTAGGGCGAAGCTGAAATAGCCTCTCAAGGCTATCAGCATAGGTAGGAAAAAAAAGCCACAGCAACGTGTGGCCGGGTCTGTTAGGATATTAAATGTTATACCTACTATTGTGGCGGTCACACACATAGTCATCACACCACACAAAAATATTTGACAGATGCCTCAGTCCCGCTTACGATATTTTCAAGATAAGCTTGCATTCGTTCAACAATAAAATAAGTGATAAAATAGCCTCTAACGATTTTCGAAGCTCCGCGTCTAATCCAATAATTACCGTGTATAATCTTGTACAACAATTAAATTATTATTATCTGTCCAATAACAAATGAACCAACTTTCGACTGAACGAAACTTTGTCAATTAATTTATCGAGTTGAAGTTCGAGATTAGCTACAGTCTTCCGGTAATTTATACGTTCCGTATTCATTATATTATTTGTTTCAGGATATCATAGTGTTTCACTTTCTTTTTGGAGTTTACTCCTTTAGAATCGATTTACATATATAGGCCCGGGGTATGAAAATTATGGGGACCAAAATCGTACTAGCATGTCACACGAAATGCGTTATGCGCCTGATTGCGCATGTCACACGAAATGCGTTATCGCAGGTGACGCCGGGCTGCTGCGCCGGCAGTCCGCCACAAAGCCTCGTACTGATCGCGCGTTTCTCTCATTATTGTATTTTCATATATTTGTTAGTCGTTTGTTTTGTGTCTCGTTAATTTGTTAATAATCTGTAGTGTATCGTGTTGTCGTAATATAGAACTATTTCTCGTATTGTTTCGTTTAATTTTTTATATCCAGTAAACTCCAGTCGTGCGTCGGAGCGGACACACACACTTTTTTTTTATGATTGAAGCATTACTGGTGGCCCGGAGTCCTTTCCAGTTTCACCAGGACAGGTGGGCGAGCAAAGACTCAGCCAGGAGGGGTGGGATTTGCTAACAGCTGCCCGAGCGCCTCCGAAGGAGACCTAACAACTCAAAAGTAACTGCTTCGCGAACGAATCTACTACCGGATCAGAATCGCGACCCGCTGAGAAGATCCGGCGTGAATCTCAGCGGGCTGATGCATGGGTTAGGTTGCCAGTCGACCTTTTTGTCGAGTTCGACATATTATTATGTATTTATTTATTAAAAGGAGGACCAACAGTCCAACTCAACAAAATACATATATTAATATATAACAATAAAAAATAATAAAAACAAAAAGCCAATTAAAGGTCCTCCCAATATAAGCAAGTTAAAACACTAGAGAAAAAAAACACGTGTGGTACCTACTCGGGGGCTGCCGCGGTAAAAAGCTACTGCATAGCATTTTTTATCAACTTATGTAATTATAATTGGACAATAATAATTTAATAGGCAAAGTTAGTCGACAAGCCACTTCTCTTCTTTTAAAAACTCCCATTCACAGCTCTAGTCGCTATAGTGGCTCTTTCACAATACAAGCAGTGCGATTATGGAATTCTCTCCCTCAACCTATTCGTGCTAGTTCCTCTCTAGAAGTTTTTAAGAGTCAAATGAAGAAACATTTCCTGTCGCTTTAATCGTATTTAAGTTATTGTTTTATGTATTTTTATTTATATGTATTTTTCATTTAATATTAGATTTTTGTTTTTTAAATACTTAGTTTAAAAATCATGCTTTAATAGCTTTTATATTGTACACTATACCCCTCTTATACATCGTATTTCTCTCTGCTAATGGTTTGCTGGAAGAAAACTCATGAATGAGTTAAGCTCGCCTTTGTACATAGTATTTAGACATTCTTTAAATCTGTTTTTCTTGTATTTTCTTTGTGTGTACAATAAGTATAAATAATATAAAAAAAAAAAATATTAAAACAATAATAAAATAAGACCACGCTATATTTATAAACATTAACAAAAGCAAAACATTAACTGTCCCCTTCACACTCCTAAGCTAGACCGCGCGAGAGAGAGATGGGCAGACTTTTCATGATGCGCGTTACTATTGATGATCGAAGATGCGCATACAGTGCGACGTCACGCCGCGCGCTTATTCGCAAACACTACACAAGCGCAACATGTGAATGTGTTGAACGCGAGCTACATGGTAGACGGAGTGGGGGTGTTAGGTTTTATTTTCGTTACGGAATTTCTTGATTCGGTTGCCGCGCTCAAAGCCCGCAATAAAAGATATGCAACAGCTTAAAAAAAGCAAAAAAGCAGTACTATGTTAAAAGTCGAATGTCTATTCATTGTTCCGTAATCTGACTTCGCGATCGCTTAGGCAGCATTGTGTAACCGTTCTCGATATCAGCTCCCCACTCGAAAAACAATAGTAGGGGCCGTGACCCGAGCACGCGAGAGTTTCCACTCCACCATTCAACCCCCTGGCGAAGGTTATAAAATATAGCGGAAACTGTTAAGGCCATATCATACCTAAGGCTTGACACCCTTAATTTAAGTTATTTATTAAGTTATACAACAAGGCAAGTCCCTGTTTTTTTTTATTGCTTTGTGGGTGGACGAGCTCACAGCCAAAGTTAAAGCCAAAGTTGGTGTTAAGTTGTTACTGGAGTCCATAGACATCGACAACCGTAAATGCGCCATCCACCTTGAGATATAAGTTCTAAGATCTCAGTATAGTTACAACGGCTGCCCCACCCTTCAAACTGAAACGCATTACTGCTCCAGGGCAGAAATAGGCAGGGTGGTGGTACCTACCCGCGCGGAGTCACAAGAGGTCCTACCACCAGTAAATGTTCTGGTTCCACTGTTCCATCAGGTCGAATTTGCTCGTCGCTTCCCTTCAAGCTTCATGGTGCTCATGATCTATATCTTCTACTTATTATCATTCTATAATTTTTCAGAACGGCACTAGCCGATTTCAGTCGTTTCTTCAGAGCACGTATAAATCTATACTTCTATACTTAATATTATAAAGAGGAAAGATTTGTTTGTTTGTTTGTTTTTTTTGAATAGGTTCCGAAACTACTGAACCGATTTGAAAAATTCTTTCACTGTTTGGAAGCTACACTACTCTCAAGTGACATAGGCTATAATATTTTTTGAAAATTAGGGATCTTTTTGTTTGGATATTTTATATTGAAAAAATTCTGACACATTAAAATAAAAACGAATTGAGAAACGTCTACTTTTTTGAAATCGCTAAAAAATATTGATTAATTAATAATTTTAATGATTTCATTTCATTATTTTTTATTTTGATGCTTTAATGATTGTTTTAGTTTTTTGATAATTAAGCGAATACAGTTAAATTGATTTCGATCTCCTAGTTCGTGATTCGTTACATTTCGCGTCTTCCAATGAAGAATGATATATAACAATACAAATATAAACGAAATCTAATTAAATTAAACTTAGTTTTCCTAGCAGTAAAACATCATTAGTAAAAGACTAGATTGGAGGTAGGACCTCTTGTGAGTCCGCACGGGTAGGTACCACCACCCCGCCGATTTCTGACGTGAAGCAGTAATGCGTTTCGATTTTAAGGGTGGGGCAGCCGTTGTAACTATACTGAGACCTTAGAACAAATCTCAAGGTGGGTGGCGCATTTACGTTGTCTATGGGCTCTGTTAACCACTTAACACCACATGGACTGTGAGCTCGTCCACCCATCTATGCCATAAAAACAAATAAAAAAAAACACCCAGACAAATTACAAGTAAACATCTGAAAAGAAAATAACAAAATCACTGTTATATTTTCGAACATTTTTCTAACGTTTCCTATCGCAGAGAACGTGACTGTAATACGTTGAAATATAACAATGAAAGTTAAACGATTTGTTGAAGAAAATCTATGAATATTACGGTTTGATTGGCTGAGCTCGTTAAACACAAGACCGATGTTCGGTAATTTTATAAGATACTTTTGTTCACTCCACTAATTGTCCCATCGTGTTGCTGGATGAGGTGGGCAAGCTGCCGGAACGCATTCTGGCGGCCCGCATCATCTGGGGGGACCCGATCTGTCGGCGGAGCTGTATGGCTTCCGAGAGGGCCGTTCAACGGTAGACGCGATCCTTCGCGTGCGGGCCCTCTCGGAGGAGGCCGTCTCCGGGGGTGGGGTGGTTTTGGCGGTGTCACTCGATATCGCCAATGCGTTTAACACCCTGCCCTGGTCCGTGATAGAGGGGGGCGCTGGAACGACACGGAGTGCCCCCCTACCTTCGCTGGCTGGTGGGTTCCTACTTGGAGGACAGATCGGTCACGTGTACCGGACACGGTGGCATCGTACACCGGTTCCCGGTCGTGCGCGGTGTTCCACAGGGGTCGGTGTTCGGCCCCCTTTTGTGG